ATATATATATATATATATATACGCTTCATTTTTCTGATTTGCAATAAAGCAAATAAATGTATTAGTATAAAAACATTTTTTCACACATGCTAAATTACAATAGGATACATAAATTTTCATTAGTCACGAAATATTTAAGAACTAATTAAATTCGATGATCTTATAATCCTTCACATATTATTCTCGATATTTAAACACTATTTTGAATTACTAATTATCTTAAAATTTTTGTTTCTGGTTGTATGAAATTATCAGTCTCAATCAAGTATCAATGGATTTTGTGATTTATATTAACGTATCTTCGTCCTGATTTGGAAAGACCATTAATAAAGAATGCTGAGAAGTTGTTCTCTGACTTGAAGTTAACAGAGCGGTTTTCTCGCCTCCGCTGCCATTCATCGAGCAATCTGGAGAACTGCCATCGAATGCTATGTAATTGGTGGTCGTGCTGCTCGTAGATGGCATGTCATTTAGATCCGGCGAGGCTAAAGGCGGAGCCTGACCCGGACGAGTATTAGTACCGTCCAATGATACAATCTGCATACTGTATGACTCACGATATCCGGATGTACTAGACGTGTCTTCGTCCCAGGATACGTCTGACACCTGAGGATGTACGTGGTGATGAAAGTAATGACAATGATGATGCTGATGCGCTGCTCCATGAAAATGCTGCTGGTCTGCAGGCACATTGGAGTTTTTGTCTCCATCCGATTTGCGGATAGACTGACTTCGTCTGGAATAAATGGATGAATTGGATGGGATGTTAGATGATAGCGGCGGCGGATCCACTGCTGACGATGTCTGCTCTGTCGCTTTCGGTTGTTCCTCACTCGTTGGTTGTTCCACGAGAACTGCGTCTGATTGCTCCAACTTTGTTTGCGTCATCTGAAAGATAATATTCTATGTCTGTACAAGGTAGAGTTTAATGTACCAAATAATCAATTAGATTATAATTAAAAGTAAAAATACGATAATAATAAGAATTATCGAGAAGCTTTATGCAAAACTAAGAAACTTCTGTAATAATGATTAGAAACTTGTGATCAGAAACACAGAGAAAAAAACTTATATAAATTATCACCTCAATGTGACTCTTTCGACTTTTTCTTAAGCGGAAGGTCTTCTTGCTTTGGCCCATAGAACGTTGTAAGCGAGGCTTGTCGGTACGTAATTCTCCGGAACTGTCTTCGATCGGACTGCTTGGACTTAATTGGCCCGTCACCGTCTCCCCTGGCGGGACAGTCGACGATCACACATGTCGCGTCTACCGTCTTATTCACGAATTCTACTCTACGATTCTACTCATGCTCCTTTTTCGAAGTGTATGATTCAAGATTGTTTTTTAAGTGCGCAGGAAATATTTTACAACCCGTGCTTGATGTAACATGGCATGTAACATGGTACATCTCTAGTACAAAATAAATTTTTTAAGATTATAAATATACTCTATTTTATAATATGTTTTTGAACATTCTTAGATGTGTGAGTCTTGAGAAAGATCAGAAATTATATAGAAAATTAGGGGTGTATTCATTTTGTAATCGAGTAACACATTTAGATCGATTGTTAATTCTGAAGCAAAATACTTCGTTGTTTAAAGAGAATATGCCTGTATTTGAGAAACTGAAATGTTTCCATGCTCGAAAAAACACGGATGAATATAAAAAGATCAGACATTGATTAAAAATGATTACTGTACAGAGAATGTTTTACATAGATTAAGAGAATATGATGAAGAGATTTTATTATACGTGTAGAATACGGTATTGCATGTAAGTTGCACGTTAAAAATTGAAATTAACAGTTTTGTAGAAAATGTTACAGTGTCTGTTACGTGCATGCAAAATTGTATTTGCGAACAGAACACAAATTATTTTAATGTCGCTTCGGAAGTGACAACGTGAGAATATTGTGATTACATTTGCACATGTTACATGTCCGCGCATTAGATATCAGGGAGAAAAATAAGCCCCGTATGATCTGTGTCAGAGTTACATAATCAATTCTTTGCTATTGATAAAATTAATTAAATGTAAAAAAGAAATGAAACAAAATGGTCGTTACATTATGTGCTAAATGTAAGATTTGTGATGCTTGTATTCTTAAATTATTCTTAAATATATTCTATTCATTCCAGAAATATGAGTTCTATTTTCTGGCAAACATGTTAATGATGTAAATAATGGCAATGTATTGTATCGGTTAATTAATGAATGAAACCTAGTGCAATGCATGATTATAACTTTTTGTCTTTCTTTAATAAACTAATTAAAAGTGTTACCTTAAAATTTTAATTAAAATTTATCAAATTTACATTATGGATTTTACTTCATGCAAAAGCTTAATTAAATCTGCAAAATCTAAACTACGAATTTATCTCTAATTTAATTAGAGTTTAAAATATCGATACAGATGAATGTTGTGTAACATACAAAATAAATAATCAATGCAACTAAAATAAATGTAACAAAAAGTATTTTCTACGATCTTGCATTTTTCTTGGATTTTTATTTAAAGCTATGTGTTTAGCAAGAACGCGGTATGTCCTGATATTAATGAAAAATAGCTTATATTTGTGTGAAATGTTGATATTACTGCAGACGAATTAAATAAATTTAAGAGATACATTCTATAAAATTGTAATTTCAAATTATATTTTTAAAATCAAATTTCTGAAAGATTAATCTTATCAAAACTTTCAATTTTTTAGAATAAAAACTAAAGAAAAGTTTAAGCTTTAGAAGTCTTCTAGAAGAAATCTCTGTAAATTTCTTCAACTCATTAATTTTTGCAGTAATATTAAGTATTGTATCAAGTTGGAAGAAGGAGATGAAGTCTTTCAAGGGACATGTGAATAAATATATCGTGTGTAAGCTAAAGCGGGGACAGGGATTTACCTGATGAGTTTCTAAACTCTACGGAAGAGACAAAGCGCAGCTTTGGCGCCTTTTGGCGAGGTAAGACAGAATGAAGCTTATCGCTAGTAGATGATGATTGGAATCTATCTGAAACATGCCACATCGAACGTCTAATATGAGGGGAGGGATAACAAGTAAGACAGACCACGATATAGTAGTCATCGTTGATACGTTGCTCACGATCTTACATCGTGTCAATGTTGCACACTTCGAAGACCTAAGTCTTGGGAATATTGGTTAAGTGTAATTGATGCGATAAAGTGTAATGCCTTAATGATTTTGCTAAAAATAAAGTCATCTGAATTTATAGCTTATGAACGATTCATGAAGTTTCATATAAAATTTTGTGTTTCTTGATGTATTTCAAAATTATATGAGTAATGAAATGATACTGCATTTATATGCTGATCTCATAATTTTATGATCACTGTGACTTGATAAAAATGGTAGATAATGACGTGATGAAAATTCCAATTAGACAAAAATATTATAATATTAACATACACGCGACTAATTACATAAACACCTATACGATGTTGCTTCGATTAGAAAAAAAAGATATTAATTGATACTCTGTATTATATAAGAAGAGTGTCTCTCAGAGCAAACAATAATAAAATATTTCGAAATAAAAGATTTTCGTAATATCTGAAGAATTTATTGAATGCGTCCTTTGGATTAAAAAAACTGCTGGAATTGAATGTGTTGATATGGAATTGTCGATACCGATAGATGTTGCCGTCGTGTTAACTGTGAAAACAATTAATGACAGTTAGTTTCGTGCTGTCGAGTAAAGGAAGAAAGCGACAGAACATCGAAGCAACTACGTAATAGAAAGTGACTACTCAACGATTAGTAGGGTACCAACTGTTGGACATTACCATTGTCTAAATACTGCTATATAATAAGTTCCTTATGAGTTTGCGTATAAAACGTGATGACAGGAGACGATAATATAAAATACCAGTGTTCTAAAAGAAAAATACCGCGAAATGAGATTGCATACTCTGCAATTATTTAAGAATTCTATATTATCGCACAATAATATCTTCATACACAATTTTGCGATCTAATTCTTAATTTCTGTCATATTTTAATCACGTTATAATTTGTTCAAATCACTATTTAATCAATCTCATTTCACGGTAAAAGTGGATTAAGGAGGCAATAAGAAGTGTACGAAGACCGAGGTAGGCGACGCAAGAAATAGGACGAGCGATCGATATGATCAAAATTACAAAAAAAGTGTTAAGCGTGAGAGGGACACACACCAGCAGGATATATATTATAGATCGTGTTAGAATTGATTGAGTTGTAGAATCGGTCCGCTTACCTCCGTTCCCTAGCTAGCAATGGAAGCAACGTAATGATCAATGTGTCAATAATACGACCAGAGAGAGAAAGAAAGTGAAAGAGAAAGAAAGAGAGAGAAAGAGGCGTAAACGACTTATGCCTTAAAACGACGCATTAAGTGATATACGATTAATTGAGAGATCTTTTTTCGATGACGAGGACGGCATTCCTATCATCCGAGAGACGAGAATTTTCGTCCTTAAACGAAAGGCGAATGACTAAACTCTTCAAGTTGCAAGCCTCGCTGTAAAGGGGAAAATAAAGTGAAGACAATTGCGTCATTATGCAAGAACCGCGTGAGAAACCACGATTGTAAAGGAAGAGACTCATCGCTGCTAAGAAAGAAAGTGAGATAAAGACGAAGAGAAAAAAGGGAGATAGAGACTGTTGGCAGTGGTCTATAGACAATGGCTCGATCCAACTGTGGTAGCGGTCAGCGGTTCTTCGTACTGACTGCACGTACGACAATAATGAAACGTATGCGAGAGGCTTGCAGTCATAATCGATCGTAATCGATAATTTGGGACCTTTTTGTATAGGGTTCTCGAAAGTGATGGAATACCTGTCGCTGAAGTTGGCTGCTCGGCATAAGTTTCCTCGATGACTGTGTCACTTGCTTCACGCAAAGTTGATCCACCACTGGTGCTCGATACAGATCCTACAATTGATATATTAGTTTAATTAAATATTTTAATTAAGTAAAATAATATTTTTTTTATTATGAAAAGATGCATAAAAAAGAACCAAGAAAATAGCGGCAATTTTATGTTTACCGTAATGTCTATTATAATGTTTTGCATATTATGATAATTGCTTTTCACATAATAAAAAGAGAACAAAGGAATCAAGATATTGTACCACCAATGCGAGTGCCGTTCAGCGGTGCTGTTACTTGAGTGGGATGCACTGTTTTAACAATACTACTAATGTTGGATTGAGTCGAATGAGACTGCGATTGAACTGCTGTGGAATGAGACACTGGTGTTTCAGCAGGTGTACGATTTATGTGAGCTCTTGATCCTAAATCACCAGTTAGAAGATCCATCAGCAGAGATGGTCTCTGAGTACGCGGCTGGCCTTCGGTTATCGGATGCATATCCACCACGCTTCTTTTAGGTTCCGGTTGCATTTCATCTGTATGTAGAAATTACAAAACACTCAATTCGAAAAATTCTTGGTTAATTTAAATTTTAAAATGAATATCTTAATTAATTGAATACGTGGTTCGAGTCTGCTATAAAAATGGAATAAGTATACGATAAAGCTGAATATGAAAAACACGGAAAAAATATTTATTGGAGCTCGCAAATGCGATTGTTGAGTTTTACAACGTCGATAAAATACTAACCGCATTTTCGATTCTCAATTTCCTGTTTTAGATTCTTTAACTCGTGAATAAGATCCATGAGCAGTGCGCCTCGTGATTTTGGTACAGTGGTACTACTTCCATTGATTTTCTCGCGTATAATAGTATGCATATTTCGTTCGTGCTCGGATATCGGCGCTTGTCCGATTTTATAAACAATGAATGGAAGCATTTGAATGTATAAAGCTGTGCGGTGTGTCACAATAAATTCTATGAAATTCCAGAGATATGTGGAAGCTTCATTGCGCTTATTCAGAAGACGCATCGCACGTAGAATTACTCGCCATTCCGTTCTCAGTTCGGTTTCGAAACATATCGTCATTATTTTAAGCGCTGAAATCAAACACTCGTATATTAGATATGAATTGTTCATAAAAAGAAAGAATACACATTTTACGTAATATTATTATAATAATTTTATATAGAAATCATATAAAACAATAATTTATTTTTTTTCAAAAAAATTTACTTTTTTCATGTAAATCTTACCCAGGAAAGCAACTTGGTATAATGTTAACGATGTTTTCATTAAAGCCTTCGGATCTCTCGAAGTGAATGTTATACTACCGGTCCTTGTATCCGTCGGTGGTCTTTGCATCGTCAATGGTATCGGTTTGGCACCCGGCGGCCAAAGCGCGTTTAATACAGTTGTTAAAGCGAAAGAGATGTCTGATTGTTTCAGTTTTGGTACATCTGAAGACATTAATTTAAAATAATATTATATATTTGTAATGTCGTCTTCTCGAATATTGCAATTTTTCTTTCTACCTTTTCTCCCAGTCCCGACGCGAAGGAACAATGGTATCAACAAATTCAGTAGCGCATTTTCCGTGCGAGTTTGAGTAGCGAACATGTTCTGGCCACCGAGAACATTCTCCAAGGAGTAACCCTCGCCAAAGGATATCACGTGTAGAGCAATCAGACGTAACACCGTCGAGCAAAAATGTGGAGGCGGAAGTGGAGCGGGCAGCTTGCTCATTAAAGCAGCTGTGGAAGCTGAAGTTAAATCTTCAGATAGGTTGTCTCCGACAATTAAAGCCTGAAAAGATTAACGATCAATTAAAATTAAAATTTAATTAAATTGAAGCAGATTTGAATAATACATTGGAAAAAAACGGTTTTATTAAAACATCTGAAAATTTTGCTAAATATAGATTTGAAAATAGTTTTGTTAAATTATTCAAATAATTATGTAGGACTCTTGAGCGTAATGAGCAATGCAACAAAAAGTTTTGACATTCTAATAACCAATTTGATTTATTACGTAATTATTTTGATAGTCTAACAAAGTTAATTTCAAATTTATATATACAGTTAAATTAAATTTAAATTGAATTAAATTTTTTAATATTTCAGCAAAATTGTTTTTTCCATAAAAAATTTTTAATACTTACCTGACAAGTAGTTAACAATGTTTTCAAATATTGAAAGTGCGCGATGTACGGACACTTCGACAGAGTTTCGTAAACCCCTTTCAAAAGATCACTTGCAGCAGCCCAATTGGTATTTCTTCTAATCGATGGTTTCTTGTGTATTTTATTAAAGGTTTTATCCAATCTTCTGAGAATGAGCGTTAACGCTGGTCTCATTTCATCGGCTGCCCATTCGGTCGAAGGAAGAATATCGTTCATGTATCGCTTCAGACCACGACAAGCCATTGTGACTGGATCGTATGGAGAAATTTTCAGAAGACTATGAGCGATATCAGCTAGGCGCTAAATAATAAAAATTATTTTTACTTTAAAGTCTTCACATAATTATATATAATTATATAATAGCAAATAGATTAATCAGATAAAAAATAAAAATATCTTGACTTATAAAAACAAAGATCTGATAAAATATTGTTAATATTTCATTTTTAAATTTATTTCTACGCGAAAAAAACGGTTACAGTTGCCACAATTAAGAGTCGTCCATCGATATATTTTTGGTTATAAGAACTGTAATGTGATTGTGATAATCGTGAGATACTATATATATGGTATATAACGGTTATGGCAGTTAAGATATGTCCATATCTTACCTATTACCACAATCAAATATATTGATGGGCGAAAATTATCATTATTTCCAGTTGTGGCAACCATTACATTTTTTCTGTACAGAGGTAAATTAAATATATATTGCAAGTATATATTACGAAAATAATCGTTAATTTACCACATGACATTTTGAATCCAATAATTCAATAGTTTTTCCATCCTGTGACTTTTTATTAAGCTCTACTAAACGAATAGAACAACGAGCCACAAAATCGCCAACCATATTTAACAAAGTATCGCGTGGTCTCCTAAACTCATTTTTATGAAAATCTTCGTCTCGATCATAAAAATGTCGTGTCTTCAAATGTTCTATATATTTCGTGTGAGTGTCTTCTTCGAAATCGAAACCAGGTGAATATGGACCTTTGCCGTAATTTCTTTGACTAGAACCTTTATGTTCAGGACTCGATATTTGCGGGCCATTATAATATCTGTGAGAATTAGTGAGACATTAATTTTTTATTAAGTTGCATTTTAAAAAGAAACGAAAGTTGTAAGAGAAACAAGTGACGAATTTAACTCGTACTTTGTCAACGCTTCGGAATTGTTGACTAATGTTCTAACTGCAATTGCTAATTGATTTATTATTTCCTTTTCTGTTTTGCCTTCCTTATTGTATGTAGGTAATTGGATTTGCCGAACGTAGCACGGCAATATTGCTTCCAATATTGTCTGTGAAAAATATAATGCATGTTACTCATTTGATAAAATAAAAATTAATGTAAATTATAGCAATATTATATAGCACATCATACCAGCATTTGTTGGCCTCTAATCGAATCAGGTGCGTAAGCTATCACCATGACACAGAGAGATATACAGTCAAGCACGTCGACCATTTCATTTTCGTCGTGATAACAAAAATCTATCGCTTTTAAAGGCTTCTCCTCCTTCACCAATTCTCCTATATTAAGTGGATCCGGTGACGGCGTTTCCAAACTCAATAATAAGTTAAATAGGCACGTTGATGGCACCTTAACAGAAAGAATCACGATCAATATTTTTTAGAAATATTTATATATTTTTTTATTTATATTAATAAAACAAACCTTATGAGCCTCGCCATGGACACTTATCATATCTGTATCCAATATGGTAGAAACACTACCAAACATTTGTAGAATGAAGGGTTTACGGTTCATGAGATAAAATTGTTTAACGGCGTACTCGACAGTGGTCGTCACGAGCTTGTTCGTTTGATGCGTCGAGTATAGTTGCAATAAGGTCGGCATGATTAACAAGTAACCGTTCGTTGAGAAAATATTTTTAAAATTATGCGCAGCGTTTATGTAGGTCGCCACGACGTAGCGTAGAATGCAAGAATCCTCGCTGTGAATAATTACGGCGCCATTCAGGACGTTTAGAAAGAGATGAATATCACCGGAATACGCGAAATTGCCGGCCATGGCCTCAAACATGCGTGCGATCAGTCTAACCCACATAAATTTGTGCATCACGTCCAACCCAAGAAGTTCCTAAAGTTGAAAAGAATTTATATCAAAGAAAACTTATTTATAAAATATAATTTTATTCTAAACAGATTAAACAATTTAACATAAGTCACTAAATCGAGAAGGTAAAAGATTTAAGTATATATAAGAGACTTAATACATACTCTCCCAATTTCACCACCTTTGTAAAGATCCAAATCAGCTTCTAACGCTTTTCGCGGAAACGAAGGTAGCTTCATGAGCTCTTCGTGAAGAAATACGACCCTTTGCACTACCATGTCAACATTCTTCAGAATCGCCCAGGTCAATAGTACCTTTCCTATTTCTACGAATTTGTGCATCAATTCTTGCCGTTGCAAAGCATTGAACGCATCTTCCTGCTTCATGTGAACAAGTTCGATTTGCGGGAATTGAGATCTCTTGAAGAAATAGTAGTCTCTAACGTATGATGATGGATTGTGTATTTGATCTGCAAGTAGGTGAAAAAGTTTAGCAAAATATAAATAGAATAGAATATTATTACGCCATGAAGATTGCTAAATAAAATAAGAAGCTCACGCGTCTTGTAATCCACGAGAAAATACTCGTGATGCTTTGATTCTTCGATACCAAAAAAGTCCAAGGACTCTCGAAGTATCTGACAAAATTGCGTGTCTTCTTGAACCGGAAACTGCGAGGGTATTTCTCCGGCATCAGGATCTTGCGGGCCGTGAACGATGATTTTTTTCGCTGACGGAACGTTCGCTGTAAGTAAAATTGACGCATCGCATTGTTCTTTTCGCAAAATTTGCTTTAGATCTTTGAACATAATGCCGTGTACACTGTGCACCACCTGATATCAGAAAAAATCATTATTAGCAATTTTACATTTTAATAAATAAAAAAAATAAATAAAAGCTTGTAAAGAGAGGATTGGAAACAGGTTTATGTTTTACCATCCACAAAATTGACAATGCAGTTCCAATTAATTTTTGGCCCTCCTCGTGTGGAGTGCGCACGTAAAACATAACGTATCCAATAATATAATTATAAAGCGCAAACGCAGCCTGTTGCGGTAACTTCGGTACAAATCTGATAAGATGTCTCAAAATCTTGAACATTAACTCTTGCTTCTCTCTCGTGAGACGTTCCAGCACGTATCGCAGAAACAGCGCGCTATCTTCCACCAAGCAACTCCAGATTACCTGATATAAAATAAATTGATATTGTTAAATGACAAAAAACATGTAAGATTACAGGTTACAAACTTATTTTTTCCATACTTGATATGCCACTTCGTAAACTGCATTTCCATCATCGGAGACTGCTGGATCATCCAGGAGATTAATAATTTGAACGATCGCTGAACACAATGATGAAGGAAACAACGAGAGAGCTGATTGACTATGATGAGTTTGAGTATTCCTTGGGACAGTCTCAGCTGCATCTTCATCTCCTACATTACCTTTATTAAAAATGGAGAGAAATATTGCAAGCAATGGATATCTAAAACGAAATGGGTTGTATACCTTCATCGTGATCGTCTCCTACTGGACTGGGCTCGTAAGCGGCTTGTACGGTAATTGGTATCGTCGTAATAAGAAAATTTTCTCTTTCTTCCCGCTTCTTGTCGTCCTGTGCTTGAAGAGCCTTTGTAATCAATTCGGTCTGTTGTTTCTTCCGCGTTTTCGTCGCGGTCACTAGAGATCTCTAAATAAGTAGCGGCACAAATAGTCTAATAATTTATAGAATCTAAAATGCCTAAAAAATTTAGTTAGATTTGAAATTAATTTTGCTGCGCCAAAATTATATACACGTTTATTGACGACAATGCTACAAAAACTTTTAATAATTTAGTAACCAGTTTGAACGTTCTTAATTTTTTTTTCGTCGTTCAAATAAAATTATTTTCAAATTTATATTTAAAAATACAAATTTTCCAATATATTCCATAATTTTTTTTATGCTCTAAACAAGATATTCTGTGTAAAAAAATGTGCGCTCACTACTACATTAATTCTTCTTTAATATTCATTTACTCACATGATGTTCCTGATTGATAGTGACCTCCTCCACTTTTGTTTTGACCTGAGGCATCCAGGGTGGATCGACTACCGGCAAGGATTCTATTCCGATCTTCGGTGAAGGTAGAGTAAATTCTATTCCTGGCGGAGGTACCTTAAAAGTTAAGTGAGCCGCCTCCTCCATCCGTGGCCACACTTGATACCGTAATTTCCACAGAACTTGAAATCGCAAAATGGCATTGATGCGCACACTAGTGTTATTGTGCTGAAGACCCTTGTGCATCAAATCACTGGCCTGGTTCGGTGCTCGTACGGCAGATACTATAAAAAGTGCCGCTGCTGATGCAGCGACTTCTTGATTGGATTCTAATAAGAGCTCCCAGGCGACAGGCAAAACTTCCACGAACAAATCTTCCGTCATCACAACCGCCCCTTTGATTAAAGTGGCCAAAGGTGCATGAAAAGCGTCCTTTACTTGAGTCTTCACGTATTTCAAGACCGGCGGTGGCTCTTTATCTTGTTCAGTACCAGTACCATATTTCATTGTAGTTCTTCTCAAAGATTCCTTGCCCCTTTCAGAGTCTTGTTCTGCCAAATCCTTTGAGGAATCTCTTTGAGTTAATCGACCAGATTGAGAACCATCCAGATTTTTTTCTATTCTGTAAAAATATTCCTTAAATTAGCATCAAGTGTAATTTAAAGAAAGGTTATTATTTATAGACATTGATCGCAGGTGTTTACAATTACGCATTTGTATATCGACAAAAGTATTTAGCAAATTAATGATATTCTATTAATTTTGCACAAAATATTCATTTAATATTTAATAAGTTAAACGTTTATTTAATTAACAAGTAACATCCATAATAGCGTATTAACGAATATCTGGATTACTTGTATTTGCACCCCACGCTGTCTTTTCTTCGAATAGGAGATACTTGCGTGCTAGTTTGGTCAGACACTTTGCGGCTGCGTTTATCTTTCTTGTCATCCTTCTTATCAGAGTCAATGTCGAATAAACCCGTACCGTTCAGTATACCAAATTCCTCTCCATAGATTTTCCTCACTGACTTTATCAATCTGCTACTTGCGCGCATTTGTCGGCGATAACAGAAAGGATGGCAGAAGTTCTGATGGGAGCAATAAAAATTGAAGGAATTGGCAACCTGCACGAGCACCTTCATCCACGGAAAATTCTTATTAGTCTCGTCGGTTTCGTTGCTATCGCTTGGACTCTCCGGCGGTTGATCGTCGCTGAGAATGCCTGGCGATTCATCGCCACTGACTTCGCCACCGACACCAGGTTCAGACGTGTCGCTTCTATCAGACAGGGAACTTACTTTCCTTTTATTGTTAGATTGAATCGAATCTGCGCGTTTTACCGTATCTATAGATAAAAAGTAATTTAATTAAAACATATGCATATCGATATTAATAAAATTAATTCCGTAGCGATATTAATCTATAATTTATAGATAAAATTAATTATGTTTATAGAGAATTATTAATATCACATTAGCCTCGATTTAGTTTAGATTTTACTTACATGCTTCGCATTCCGTATCCTTGCCCTCCTTGGTATTGCGTCGAAGTTTAAGGCTTCTCTTTTTAAACGAGCCAGTCGTAGCAGTACTGCGACGAAGAAGGAATGGTCTACTTTGAGGTGCCTGCACCCTCTTTGCTTTCTCCTTCTCGACATTTTGGGTCTCTTCACCTTGAATTGTAACATTTGATTTGCTGCTTCCTTCAGATTCATTATCAGGTTCGTAGAGGACAAAACTGATTTTGCGCTCCGCTATGGAATAAATTTTTATTTTTGCCTATCAAATACTTTGTGGCCCGAAACAAGGGCTTTATTTCAAATAACGCGCTCCATTAATTACATGTTATTCTACACTAACCGACAACTTCGCGATCGCCAGCTATAGATTGAAGACTCTGCGCGGACGCCTGCGAATGACCCATGGATGACAAAGCCACGCTCCACCGACGATTCGCTTCTCGGCTGTACATTCTTTCCCAAGGCGGTGGACGTTCTTTCGTTAACAGTTTACTCGACTTCGGTAAAGTTTGATAAGTCTCTCTGAGAAACGCCGTCACTTCCATCAGCAGAACGCAAGCGACGAGACGTAACGCGAAGGGACATTGGGATCCGTAATTATTTATACTAGCTAAAAGTTATTAAATCTTAATTTTTATCTGATTGCTGAATCGATCTTTTTTATTTCTTAAGCAGAGATATTACCATCATCAAGGAAATCTTCTTCCTCATCTTCCAAAACCAACTCTCTCTGTTTGTTCTCGTCAGATACTATGCTGGTTACTTGCTCCATGTTTTGCTTATCTTCAGCTAAGAATTCTTCCAAACGTGCTGCTATAGCCTGTTTTTTTTTTTAATTATAGTCTTTTACTTTATTTGATCAAAAACTCTTTTAATGAAAAAGAAATGTCTATTGTTAAAAAATACCTCTGCCCATTGATAAAATAATTTTCCCGCCGTGCGTTGCAGTATATGAACACGTCTAAGTGCAGTAGAGGCGTTTCGATTGTTTATCGGCACAGATGATCGAAACATGGGGAAATTGTGCTTCATCCATGTGGGCCAGTGACCCTTGTTGCATTGATGCACCAAATGCGCGCATTCTAGTATTAAACAGGCGCGAGATACTACCGGCGCGTATGGCTGTAATCGCATACTTAAATATAGTTTCTATTACGCTTTACAGAAATATTAAGTATGAAAATACAAGTATAATCATTACAAGATCTAGAAGCGATGCCATTAAATGAGGATCGGGAACTGAGCCTGGTTGGCAGGTCTCCAGGAGGAAGGAAAATCGTAACATTCCTTCAAATACCGAGAAGCGTGGGACTAATCTTCTCTCTTTTAGTACAACGAACTCGGATTCTCTACAAACCTCGCCGAGCTCCATGGAATTCTTTCGACTGAAATCTAATTGAAAACAGACGTGCTTTCAATGGTGAATAAATGTTAATTCGCGATTTTGTGACAACAAAATAATTTGTATGCAATGGTATATGCAAAGTGTTCTTCATTTCCCTCTTATGTCAAGAAATATGTTGAATAAAATTTTTTTAATTTCTGATATAAACATATCTTTATGATTGGCAATATTTAACATTTTTATACATTTAATAATGATAAAATATTTCCTATCATCTTCATCTTATGTATATATTATATAAATAAAACTTTCACAAATGTCCTCTTAAAATATATGTATTTTACTTTTTTTATTTTCTATATGCGTTTCAAAATGATAATTAATTAATTTCAACTTCCTATGGAGAACACCCCATATAAAAAATTAAATTTTGTGAAATATAAACATAAATAACTCTTACAATTTCCAGGCGTTTCTTCCATGCTTTCTTTCTTTTTATTCTTTCCAAAACCGATTTTATTCAATTGATCCTCCATTCGACGTTTCGCCTTTTGCAGGGATATACCAACTCTAGGAAAAAATATCCCTCATTTTAATACGTATACGTAATTTCTTATTCTTTATCTCTCGACATAATAGAATAATTTATGTAGATATGCAACAACGAATTAGTGTTTTAAATAGACGACGTACCCGCGACCGCTTCGCGATACGCTGCGATGATGGCTGTAATGGAAGCTGGGTTGCCTAACAAAGCTACCGTCTGTAGGCGACTCGCTACTTTCATGGCTATCGGTAGAATCGGTCCGACTATACTCCTTCCGGAACCAATTAACTAAAACCGATCAAAACGATTTAATATAATGGCTCACAGTGCTCCACAAATGATACGTGCAATTCCTACTGCTCACCGATACCGCCAATTTGAAACCGTGTTGATTTCCGTGGTCCCAAAGAAGGCTCGCCTAGGATACCTAAATTACGTTCGCTCTGTCTGGGTGTCAACACATGATGTTTTTTACGCAAATTACCCAACGGACTTTGACTAATCTTTATGTTTTCTTCGCTCAATTCCGTTTCGAGGAGACTCTGTAAATTCGATCCCGCCTACCCAGTTAACCCTTTTAATACTACACAGAATGACAGACAACGGTGTAATTATTGTGTGATTATTATCATTGTAATATTTACAGCGCAAGTGGACGATGTGCTCCTCTTCTTAAAGAGGAACTTTCGTGTGCCTCTATCGTCAACGGTGTAACACGTGTCTCCCCCGAAATCCGCATGTTCGTCTAAATCCGATTGATGAATATGTCTGTGAAATATTAAAAATGTAGAAGAATCCCGTGATAGAATTCTTAAAAAGCATTTTTTTACTTTTCAGTATGATTATATTTTCTAAAAATCACTTATTAGCTATTATCATATTAATCCAGCAATAACACCTGGAGTATTATTACAACGGCAAAATGGGAATTATTGTAAAGTAAAATTGTAGTTATTTATATATAAACAACTACAATTTTAAAAAATAATTATAAAAAAAGAAAATATATTTCCTTTTTTTATAACTATTTTTTACGCGATAATATACTATAAAATACAATTTAAAAAACTTGCAATAAAAAGTGTTATGTTAATTAAAAATTTTTTTTTTAGAAATACTGTTATAATAAGTTATAATACTTAATTTGCTCATTCCGTTTATAATATTTATTTAATATTTACGTATTTTTTTTTAGAAAATTGTAATTAAATTTATATCCATAATGTTCTTAAATACGAGTAAATCGGAAAATAATTAATAATATGTAATATATTGCTAATAATAGTGATTTTAATTAAGATGAAAAAATACCTCAAATAATCGTTTACATAAAAAAATTAGGTGATTATTCCTGGGATTAAAATTTTAATATTTATTCACAAACCTTATGACACGTGTTGTTTGCATGTTGCTATTACATCGTTTATTTGGTCGATCAGCTGAATCTAAAACTCCACTTAGAGCAACTCGTCGGAAAATACCACCGTGTGCCTCCTTGACGTACGTCATCAACTGTCGCACGTCACAATAGAGATTGATATTCTCTTGAGCTTTTAGCTGCTTTGTAGAACCAATGAGACGAGTGACCAGGACCTTGAAGACGCAAGATATGATCTGCCCTTCGATACCGCGCGACCCGTAACCACCGGTATTGTATGACGTCGCGACACCGCTTCCGGTTGCGATGTTCCCGCCGCTTATACCTGAAGTACCGACTCCGCTTCCGCCGGTTCCAGAACCGATCATGCCAGCGCCGAAGTTCGTCGCGTACCCACTTTGAGATGCTACGTCTGGCGATTTTCCTGACATTCTTTTCTGATCTAAGAAAATGACAAAAAAACATGCTCTTTTTCTTTATCAATACAAAATAAAAAATCTATTTTTTTTATAGGACAAAGTTATCTCTAAGCTATTTTCTAAATTCTTTATTGAAGTGGAATCTCATCCTAAAGAATGAAAATTGAAATAAAAAAAGAGTGGATCAATTTTCAATCTTTAAGGATAAAATTTCATTCTTTTGAGTGAAATTCACTCTAAAGTTTTAGAGAGTACTTAAGTATGATAGAATTTAATTGTATGAAATTCGTATTTAATTTACTCACTAAGTGGTGATAGCAATGAACTCGGATCGACGCAGTATCCGACATATGCGTGAAAAAAGTCCAAGATTTCCGTCAACGGCTGCTCTCGAATCATCGTTCGTAAGAATCTCGAAAATTGACGGGAACTTGCGCGATGCAGTTTTGTCAGGATAGTTTGGCCTTGGGAACGACAAATATCAGCCTGAGGCCCGCGTACTCCGTCCAAGCAGCCGTGTGGACAGCCTAAATGCCTCAACACTCTGATCACGCAGTTCATGAGGAGATTGTGAGCAGTTGGCTTGCTCTTGCTCAAATCGTACCTATGTTCCTGATGTAATTCTGTTGGCGAATCCTGTTTCTTTCCTGTTTCCGACTTATTGTCGATTCCTGTACCAGATCCTGAAAGAAATAAAATTGACTTTGAAGTGAACGTAATTATATAATAACTTTTTTATAATAGTTTATTCTTGAGATAAGAATTCAATTTAATACTGAATAGTAGCGATTAATTACTTATTTTAAGTATTAAAATTCCTTGTCTTAATACTGAACAACAGTATTTTTAATACTCAAAATAAATAATTCACTACCATCCATGTTAAATTTTTTTAAAGAAAGAATGGGAAAAATAGAAATTACTTAAAGATATAAAATTGTTATTTAAAATATTACTGTATTTTATATAAAACATAATTATTTTAATTAATTTAATTTGCCTGCATTACTGCCGATGGCTTCCTCTCGGAGGCAATGTTTCATCACTCCCATGTCCATTAAAAGTTCTATCAAGTTCAACATAATCTCGCAAACTCGCGGTGTGCAGGAGACGTTATCTCGCAAAGCAACGAAGTGTATCGCCTAGATGACAAAAAGCGTGTGTATTTAATTTACAAAACTGAAAGAATGCAATATCACATGTATTTTTCAATTACCTTCAAGACGACTTGAAGATCAACATCACCTTCTTTGGTAATGTAACATGAGGAACCTGGAGCTTCTGGTATTTCGTCACTCATATAAGTGATATTAGAATCCGTTTGTGACCTCGTGAGACTGGGTTTCCTCTCAGAACACAAACGACCACCTTGAACGCTGATGACATCCAATTGACTGTCAATAGATCCCTAAAGAAGAAATTAGTACTTAAAGAAAATAAAAATTAAATGATAGTTATTACAACAATAATTTTAAAAATAATTAACAACCTTACTATACATATTAATTAAATTATATTCTGCATACAAGTAGGAAAATTAGGAAATAAATTTAAACATACTATTCTGACTTTATGTTATCGTGCGATCGTACTTTACAGAAAATCGCAGGTCTTTACCTGACGCTTCATGTAATCGGGGGATGGGGTTGGCGTGTGCTCCGTGACGGTGATAATAGGGTTCGGCACGGTATAGGACTGACTGTAAAACTGACTCTGCTTTCTCTCGACGCGAGTATCGCCGACGTACCTATAAAACAGCGTAAATCAGAAGTCTAATTCGATAGTGTTGTTTCAAATATCCTCATGCCACTTGCCAATGTGAGCCCTAGTCAAGCACTACGGTCTCGTCTTTATGATTTCGATCTACGATCGTGCGCCTGTTATTTCGTCGATACATGCACGATGATTTTTAATAACTTTTCGTATCAACGTTGCCCATACAATCATCTCAGTTTTTTACAAATTAAAAGATACTACATATTTAGAACAAAAAATATATGTTAAAAATAAATAAAGAAAAAAAGTTTTAGTTATAGTATAGTTTATAGAAATAATTATAGAAAAATAAATTAAACATTAAAATATCTGTATTGAATAAACATTAAAATCAATTAAATTTCTAGAAAATAGAAAATAAACTGTTTTCCCTCATCTTTATCACATTTATTAGAAAAAATTTAAAAATATTACAGTATCATATTTTAAATTGTTATATCAATTTATTTAAATTGAAACAGATGAAGCGAGATTTGTTCATTAAAAAACTAAAAATATATATGTCCGTAATAATAATTTTTAATTAAAAGATTAAAGGGCAACGTTATTTAACTTCTGATGTAAGAATCTCATTGTTTAACATGCATAAATATATAAAACACTAGGATGTTTCTACGTAATCATCTGATTTATATCTATTAGGATATGCTGGAATATAAATAACAGATTATAAAAGCAAATAAGGTGAAATTTATTAATTTAGATAATGGATTTTAATTAGTGCATGATATACCTTTAATAATAATGTAATATAAATTATATAAATTAAATGTTATAAAGTATGGATAATGAATAGTGCATGATATACTTTTAATAATGTAATATAAATTATATACATAAATTATATAAATTAAATATTATAAAGTAATATAATTAAAATAAAAGTTAAAATATAAATCAGAGTCAATAATTTTGAGAATTAAGAAATTATTATCTCACACATAAATGTTAAAAAGATGGAAAGAGAGAGAATAAGAAATATAATAATTTTATGTATAGAATTAATAAAATAGAAATTATCATCAAAGAATAAAAATTGTCACATAAAAATAATTATTAAAAAATTACTTAGGTAAGATTTGCCAGTGATATACGGAGCAGATTTAATAATGTGCCTCATGTGCCTTCATGGATTCTTGCCGATGACCCGATACGACTGAATTTCAATGTATTAAGGGATAAAAGTGCGCCCTACCGAAAGCAGAAAGCTCGTAAAAAAAGCGTGTGAACCGAAGCTGCAGAACGGACGTTCCTCCGAATGACGTTGATGACTTACCCTCCCGCGGTCAGCTCGTTAATCAAGCAGCTGAGCACGAGTTCGGGGTGAAAGGGCGAACGAGAGAGAGAAAAGAGACACACACAGAGAAAGACCATTACGCACAGGTATTACGATAGGCTTATCGATATTTAAGCGCTGAATTAATTGTCGGAGAATGTGAGCTCTATATTCTTGAACCATACATCAGACTAATTACATCTAGCTTTCAATATGTAACATAAATTACTTCAATCAAGATACATCGTTACTATTTTTAACAAAAAAAATGTATATTATACTGCATTTAATCCTATAAAATTTATACTATAAATCGGGGGATTACAATTAAATCTAAATGTAGCATTATCCGCCCGATTTATGGTCAAAAACATCGTTCAAGATCGTCAATGTTGGATAAACTATTTTAAATTTTTAATAATATAATTGAAAAAAATGTATTTGAACCAAAAATGTATTCGGTTATAAAAATAGTAAGAAAAATTTATTATATATACATACATATACATGCATATATGAGTATGTATAAGTATATATGTATTTATTATCCAACACTGGATTCTCTCCTATATCCGTAAAAAATTCTTGCTCTAAACGTTTATCTCTTATTGCATACAGTCTAAGAACAACTATATCTTCTTATCTATTATTATTATCACACTATTAAAATATAAATGTAATATTGTAACTTTTTAAACTAGTCTACAAAAATATGTTTAAATGTAAAAATAATCGTTTTATTGAGAATTAAAAACGTGAAATTATATGTGAAAACTGTGTTATTTGTATAGTAAATTAAACAAGTGTGTGTGTGTGTGTGTGTGTGTGTGTGTAATATAGTACAAAAATTATATAAGATAGAATATATATAACGATAAAACGCGTGTATTTACATGTGAATGAAGAAGATTGAAAGTTAAAGAAAGAAAAATCACGTATTGAATATTGTTGTGTGAACTTCTCTATTGTTTTCTTTTTCGAATAAAGTTAGCAGCACCTACCTTAAACTTGGCATACTTTTCCCTTTAATTAGATTTGTAGGATGCTTCATGTAATCGATGTCTTTTGCTTCAAAAATCTTTGAACCAGCCGAAGTTAGCCTAGTCGCAGTCAAATGATCTTCTCCAGTATCAAGACTTGTATGACGTTCCTAAGATAATCAGTGTTAAAATAAATATTAGAATAATATTTTAACTACAAGTTTTTTAATTTTTAGGATTTAAAAAGACAGTTAAAGAATATTACAAAAATTAATAAATTTTCAGATAAATTTGATTATAATTTGTACGAAAATAAAATAAAATACTTAAAGCTAGCTAGATATAGATCCGAAAATAAATTTTATTGGACAATCAAAATGATTTATGTAAAACGCTCAAATTTATTGCTGAAAATATTGAAATTTTTTATAGCGTTGCTCATCATACTTGAGTTTCTTACATAATTATTTTGGCGGTCTAACAAAATTATTTTCAAATTTGTGTGTATCTTAGATTTTTAAATATTTTAGCAAAATTATTTTTTTTGTGTTATTATTATCAAGCAACTAAAACATCTGATCATTTACCTGCTCGAACAACATTTTGGGTTCTTCTTGCCCAATCTTCTCAAGTGCCTTCTCTGATTTTGAAAGAAGTTTTGTTTCTACAAAGGCCTTGAGATCGGCCATCTTCATACGCTTTTTCGTCTTCTCGCTGGCGCGCCTGGTATGTCTCGATTCGCTTTCGTGGGCTTCGTGTATAATTCTGAAAATGTGACCAAGTCTACACAGAAGAAAGAAAGGATCTTGTCTTGAAATAGCAAAAATTATCACGAATACGTACCCGCTGTCAAAGAAGCATCGCGTGTGTCGGGCACCTCTATGAAGTCCTTCATTACATCCTTCTTTTTACTCTCGGGACTCTGATAAATTGAGACTTCGATTTTCGGAATAGGCAAGGAGTTACTTCGACGACGCGGCATCTGCTGCACTGAAGTTTCTTCGTTGATTCTTCGTAGCCTACGATACATATGGAAAACTATATTATTTATATTATTTATTCAAACAATTACATTCCAACGTAATTGTATTCTTTTAGATTTGTATTTTTAGATATAGTAAAAAGAGAGACATAAACGTAGAAAATTTTACTGTTATTTTACTATCTTTATCTATATTTTTATATTTGTCAAAATCATTTTATTTTAATATTTATATTAAATATTTTGTGTACTATATAAAACAATCAGTATACTATGTGTTGATTTTTGACAAAGTAATAGATTTCAATTCATAAATAACTAACCGATAATAAAAAAATTGAAGAGCCCAGTGAACACCTTCTTCCTGCCATTGAGGCACAAACAGACATCTCAAAGTAGCTACGTCTAAAAAGGTTGCCGCACGAACGTCAGAATCGACGAATGTAGAGCCTGTAGTATGCTCGGTTGTGTCAGCAGATTGGCGTTGTACTGAGAAACTTCCGCGCGTTTTCGAAGTCTCCTGCGTTTCTTTCTCTGTTTTCGAAATTTTCTCCTCTTTCTCCTTATCCATGCCTCTAATCAGGAAGATATTTAGAAATAAAAGTGTATTTTTAATAATTACAAATTTAATTTGATGACCAAATGAATATAATAATAATATACGTAATAAATAATTATGAAATTTAACTGACCCGGTTTTCGTAGCTTTTCTATGATACTGTTTGCATGTGTCCAATCCAGACATTGCTGCAACCTGTTCTATCGTGAACTGTTCTATCGTAGATCTCGAGGAGGTTGTCCTACCCATCGCAACGTGAAAGATACTGGCTTCGCCCTGTGGTAGCCATAAAAATATTATTTGCTCTGCGCTCAATCTTGAAATATTACCTCGTGTAACTCACTGCGAATATGGTGGAAACTTCTTTTACCCCATCGAGCATTCTCTCCGATTCACTTAAAGATGGTAATCTGAATATTACCTAGTAAATAAAATATACATCATTTGTCAAATAATTTTTAATTAATGTTCATCGCAATAATAAATTTACCACGTGCTCGTCTTCTGCACCAGAGCTTTCTTCAGGAATTGTTTCCGGAAAAACCGTGTCTTTTGGTGACGTCAGCCAAATACCCTGTTGCTGTCATTATTTTTATAAAATAACTTTTTGTTTATAATTACAAAATCTTGATAACATTTATCTTACTGGATTGTAAACTTACATCTTCGTCAATTGATTTTGAAGGTGGTTGAACGCTTTGCTCTGAAGTCGATTGACTAGGTGGACTTTCGACATCTAAACAATAAAATTAAAGAGAAGAATAACAACATAAATTAAAAATCAAATAAAAATTAAATATAATATTCAATAAGCAATATTATTAAATATTAATAAATATTTTAAATCTATTTTTTTTTGTTGAACCCCCTGCACAGTTTATCTTTCCTTCTTTTCTGTTCACGTTGGAGAGATAAAAGACAAAAGATGAACTGTGCAAGAAATTTAATTAGAAAGAACAGGTCTCTTATTATATAACACTGTGTGACCGATTTCAACTTTTAAAATTTTCCAAAGGGCGCGTGGGTTTGATTGTGTCGGGAACACGGCCCACAATCATTTTTCCAAGAGATTTGGTAAAGTTAAATCGTAGAAGAATGGGGCATAAATTTGAAGTTATTAATTTCGAGGAGTACCAGTTGCGCTATTCTCATGGTTTTGAGATCAAATATTATCACAAATACGTACACGCACATACATACACATACTCACACTCACACTTATGCACGCGAGCGCGAACTTTGTTTTGCAAATACATGAGATAGCATTAGATAGTAGGATCTGTGAAGCAGGCACGACATTCTGTCGATATCAAAAAAATTACAACAGTTCCAGTAGCACTTTTCATAGTTCTACAATTCTACCTAGAAATAAAAAATAGTTCCGCAGTTTTTATATGAAAAAACTAAAATTGGAAATATGGCGTGCTAACTACGCGAATCTGGCAGGTCAGATTTCCTCTAAAGTACGAGAAAAAAATTAATATTTGCACTTTTAGCAACAGTTCCCGATAGTTCTACTAAAAATCAACTAAGTTATGCATTTTCAAAATAAAATAACAACATTTAACAATTTTTATACATCCTATATATAGAAAATGGCATAAAACTTCTAGAAAAAGTGACGTGCTGACTATTTCTATCAGTTTCAACGGCAGTTCTCGTTAATTCTCACAGAGTTCTATGCAATACAATCATTTATAAGTAGAGTTCCGGCCTCTAAATATTTTTAATCAATTTTTTAATACATGAGACCAGCACGACACTTGTAGAAAAAGTGACTCAGACCAATACTTGAGGTATTGACTATTTACCGCATGCAAAAACGTTAAGGTATAGGGCACGCGTGATGAAAAAAATATTAACATGCGCGTATATTTGTTATCATATATATTTGACCTCAAATCGCGCTACCTGTATTCCTCAAAATTCATAACTATAAATTGATTCCCCATTTTTGTACGATCTAACTTTGCCAAATTCCTTGGGGAAATGGTAGTGGGCCGTGCCCTCGACATAACCAAACCCACGCGCCCTTTGGAAAATTTTTGTGGTCACACAGTGTAATTTATAATGAGAGACATGTACTATAAATATATAGAATTCTATTTAATTAATCACAAAGTGCGACTCACTTCCTCCAACAAAAACGTCATCTGACAACATGTGATGCTTGGCAGATTTGAAGGATTGGCTCCAATAAATGCGAGGTTTAGATCGACAATGCGCTGTGAAACAAGGTGCATCCGGATGGCGGCATTCGTACATGGCGGACCATATTTTTAGGCCGTTTTCTAATCGTAAATTCGTCTTGAAGTCAATGTCCTTTAGGTGATTGCACAGAGGTGCGAATAGATAGATGAAAAGCTAGAAAGACAGAATTTATTATTTTCGTAATCTAATTATAAATCACGTAGAAAAGTAAGACAATACAGCAAATAACTTACAGTCATGGTAGGTATCGGAAACAAATAGAAAAAAGGATTTGACGGATCCGCCTCGTTTTCCGCGCATTCTTCAGCTGAATCCAGAAATATCCAGTGAAGAATGTAAAGAAGAGTTGTTTCCATTGTGCCAAGAGTTTGAAAATCTTTCCTAAAAGATTAACGACGACAGTTGCATGAAAAATCAAGGAAGTAGCTTGGAGATTATATGCTACTCAAATGTGACTCACCTATTGTGCAAGAGACTAGCCGTAGCATGGAGAACATAAGGAAGAGCGGCTTGAATTAAACGCCAGCGTGGTACGTTTCTCAATATCTCGCTTAATGAGGGTGTCAAATCATTATGAAGATCCTGCACTAAAACCCTTTCAAGGCACTATAAAAGAAAGAAATGCTTTGATAGAGACTTTAGCATTCTTTAAACTCGTCGATTAATGTATCAAAATAGTTACGTGTTTAATATGTAATACCAACATTCGTTAAACAATTATAATCAATAATTGCATTTGGAGATTATTATATTTTTCATAATTTTTAGAAAATACATATACTGACCGTGCATGCTTCCTTCATTTCCTATGCGAGCATTTTGAAAATAAATAAACAATATTAATAAAAAAATAACGAAATTAACATGAAATAATGCAAAATATTATTAACAGGATAAATGAATAAAACAGTAATTTTGATAACAAGCGTCATTAAATGTAATGTTATTGTACTTAATAAATAATAATTATATAATTGTATAATACACAAATTATACTTAATTATACAGACATAGACATATTTAATGTTAAAACAATTTATATGAACTAACTTTTAATGTATCATTATAAATATTATTATAAACTCTAGTCTAAAAATTAATAATTTTAGGATAATCAATCTGGGTTAAAATCAAAATAGTAGTATATGGTATACATTTTTTTAACGTTAAACGTAATTTAAGTATCCATTATATTGTAATTTCATTTTAGATTAGCTGAAGAATGACTTCATAACGTGGTTTTATACTCTTTTTGTCTCATTACAAAAGGAGAACAAGTATCATATGTAAGAAATGCGAAGATGATAAAATCACAGAATATAATACATCAGACATAGAAAGCAGTCTTGTGTGCAAGCTCGCAGGCAGAGATATTAAATCCCAACTTACATGATGGCCTGGCGCGCGCTGACAGAACTGCAGGTGACACATGGAGGCGGCCGCGTGGAGAGGATATTTTGTTAGTGCGAAAGCAAGTATTGCATAACAACTGATAGGTGAAAACAATTAACTGTATGCATTGTAATCTCCAATTGCTCTTACATAAAATCCGTAAAACATATAGGAACCAATATATTGTATATAAATTCTTAAAATTTAACACAAATTAACTTTGCTGGTTTGTTCTGATCAGTTTGACACAAAATGCAATTTAAAAAAATTTTATTTAAAAACTTGTTACTCTGATATTTTTGACGATTTCTTTTGTTAACGTAAAACCTTTTTTCGTAAACATTTTTATTTTTATTTTTTAGAGCTTTTTAATTATATTAACTCAAACAATGTTATATATATAATCGTAATAAACTTGAATAAACCAGCAGAGTTAAAGATATGAGGTAGCTATAGGAAAAAAATATATCCACCGAGTATATACAAGAAACTATTGTGCTCTTCTTTAACTTAAAAAGAAGATATTAATGCAATTGATGTACATTATAAGCCCTGAAATATTCCATGGGTTATTACCTGTAAATAGCTTGGTAAATATATATATGTACATAATGAAGAGCAAAATATATAAAATAGTGAATCATATTTTACGTCGTTTTTGAAAGATCAATAATAAACGACGCGTTGCATACACTGAGAAAAAATATTCTAAATTTTAATAAATATTTATTTGAATAGTATCAACTAAACATTTACTTACAATAAATAAATATTCAAATTAATCATTCTTGCAATAAATAAATATATCTTTATATTTAATAAATATTAGTTTATTTAATATACACTATATTTAAACAAACTATTTATTAATATTTTGTATTAATTTTTTTTCAGTGTTACAATCTTTATAAAACATTGTCATCCAAAATATACTAAAAACACGAAATAGAATAAATTCACGTTGATAGACATATGAAGCAAGCTCTGAACAAAAAGCATACAACTATTTCGGCAGAGACGACTATGAAAAGCAGAATCGGCAGAGAAATGGAAGTTTTTTTTTTATATATAATAGAGCAAAAGTGATTTTATATTCACAGAAATATCAGACTAATCGATGTCTTGGAATCAATAATATTGGAAACATATTAACGACTATATTAATATTATAAGGAAAGATACGACCGCAAATATTTTGTTTAACTAATCGTTTTGACTTGGTCGCAGTATTGAATTTTTACGTTTTATAATTATAAATTAAATCCTTTTAATAATAGCACAATTTTTACATTGCTTTTTTTTACGACCTAAGAAATATTTAGATTATTGAATTAATTGTTACCATGCAAGATGCTTCGTGAAGTTTTCCTAATTTAGCTCGAATGAATGGCCTGAAAAATAAAATAGATTAGACGCTTCATTTAAGATAAATATGAGTACATCATTATTTTCTTGTGTGAAAAATAATAAAAAATTGTAATCGGCTGACCTTATAAGACGCCAAAGGAACATTTGAACTGGAATAGGCAAAGGATATTCCTGCGTTCCCCCATCCACGGACCGCCGTTTATCCATGATTGCTCCAAATATCACTAAAATAATATCGTGTATGATGAGTAACTCGATTCAATCAAACGTGGTAATAATTAGAGTACAATCGTTGGTGCTGCCACCGCTACCACGTGTCTCACCTCACAGAACAGATCCTTCCAACTTCAGCCGCTAATATGCCTACGTCTTGCACACACCCTTTGTAGAGTCAACAACACTCCATCACAGCCAGAGTGGATCAATTCCCTTTGGGATTGGGGAATGTCAGAGCCGTATTCACGTAAGAACCAAGAGTGAAGATAAAAAACAATCTGGTTTTCCTGTATAAAATTCACATGCTCTTCTCTCTTTTATGAATAAAATTCAACGCCACTAAAAGCGCCGATTATCGCGCAATATTATCGTCGCGCGTTGGACGCAGCCCCCGGAAAACGCCGACGCCGGGCATGACGTTATCGAAGGGTAGCGCCGCACCGAGAAGAGAGAGTATCACGTGCCACTCGCCCTAGTAACACACTTCCGTCATTCCCTGTGGATACCCTGCGCGACGCGGGTATGCACCCCGGCGCTGGGATAGCGTGTAACTGAAGGGACGTGGTCTACGCGCTCACACGTCCTCGCGAAAAGGATGGTGAATGCGCGTGCGACTCTCGGAAAATCCAATGCGCCGGTCGTTTCATCGATCAGCCCAGGAATCTGCTGCTGGACCACCCCTACGGGAGGCAAACCACCCCTCGCATCGCGCCACGTTGTACCGCGCCGCGCCACGTTCCTATCAACCCATTTACCCACCTAGTCCATCTAGCCATTTACTTGAGCAGTACCTGATATAACGATGGGCGAGGCCATCTTCCTGTAGAGCAATGACTGGCGAAGAACGCGCAGTTCTTTCTCGTAATTTACCCTTCATTGCAGGGTGTGTACCATTAGATTATGATAAATCGATCAGGGGTATACCAATTGATAATTTATTTTTCACCCTGAGGTAAAGCAGCTTTTGTTTCCAAAATTGTATTAAAGCTAAGATGTAAAGTATATAATATGAGTAAAAAAATTAAGAAGTTATTAAAAACAACAGATATTTAAATGACATATTGACATAGAACAATATATTCTCGGATATCATATTTAAGACTAAATAATGAGTCTGCTTTAAAATCGTCTCCCATCGCTTACCGTTGCTTCACCCCATTGCGTAATATCTTCATACAGAGAGAATGATTTTGCTTTATTTGAAAATATTGTTAGAGGATTAAAAAGTTTAAGTAATGCAGATTTTGTTAGATGTAAAAAATTTTATTGGATCAAAATAAATTATGTAAGAAACTGAAAATAGTTTTAACAAAAAGTTTTAACATTCTAACAACTAATTTGAGCATTCTTTCTAATTACTTTAATAATCCAACAAAATTATTTTCAAATCTGTACTTAATTAAATTTGTTAGTATTTTAGCAAAATCATTCTTTCCGCGGAGTATCTTCATGTGTGTCAAGATGCTCTTCGGTAAGTCTTTTGTGTTGAGAAAATTTTCGATATCCTTTAACGTCATATCCAACTCAAACACGATTTCTCGTGCATGCGTCACTACTTTGCCTGTTTCAGAGTCTCTTCAAGATTCATCGGACTGATTTCTATGCAAATTTCTATGTTATCGCCTATTTACATAATTGCTTCTTCACTAATGATTCTTCTAATGGTAAACGTCGCGTCACAACTCTTTTTCACCAAGATGAAGAATTTTTATAAACTCTAGAAAATGTTCTCACACAATCTACGTTTTCGCTGTTTTGTGAGAATTTTATAATAAATTAGCGAAACCATTGTCACTATGTTTCCATCGTTTTTCTTTATTAACCTTTTTGATACGCTCTTGTAAACAATTGATTGTTTTTTGTAGAATTATCTGCAGACTCTTTTGTCAAAAGAAATAGGAGTCATATTCTCATGAAAAATTTTGGTCGAATCTTTGGATTTATTCAGATCCTGGCTGTATATATTTATAAATTAAAACATTTAGTCTTTTAAGCAAGCTATTCTTATTTTCTGACGATTCGGACAATTTAGTTGGAATACAATTATCAGCGCAAATATTTGTTATCTATTCTATCTGTTTTATAACATTTATTAAAACGAACAAAAGTGATGTGGATTTAAAATGCAACAATTTTTGCTATTTAATACGTCGCTTGTTAAACACTTTTGTAAACAAATGTCGAAATTTTATTTGGTGTTACAATTATTTTGATTAAATGAGAAGTTTTTCTTAATGTTTCTGGCAATATCAAACTAGGACATTTCAGTCATATGTACTTAACTCGCCTATCGATTCTTTTCCATTACCAGAATGTCTAGCTCTCACAAGAGAGAAAATATCGACAGATATCTGGAAAAGATCTTAATGAAACTAATTTTCGACTTCTAGAAATAGCTTGATCTATAGCATTTATCTGATTTTTATCCAGAGATTTTCTATCCAAACGGATGAAAAACTAAAGATCATACATTTTTTTTATTTTAAGAGAGCGTGTGCAATCCTTAACAGAATCTATTTCCGCATAATTAGACATACTACTATGAGATTTAAAGGGAAGCTCTCTCTCTCTCTCTCTCATTTGGATAAATGTCTCGATTCGTCGAACAAATAAAATCCTACGTCATGTTGTGGATAATTACGATTGTCGTACAGAACAGAACCATTTCTTTCTCGTGCAATCCAGGCGAATATACCGTCTTTTTTGTAATTTCGAAAGAGGTTCATTTTCTTTCTAATTCCGTAAATTGATTAAATATTTCACAATATCGACAACCGGGCAATTGTTGTAAAGCTTGGATTTTTGCGCGATATTAGAACGTCGATATTCTGCCAACAAATCATTGATTTGCGATTTAGATTCATATATGAAAACTTTCTCACGATTTCTTCCCTGTTAATACCACTAGGCTTGCATTGCATTTGAAGGAATATACTAAGGTTTTATTTTGTTTCAAATATTTGTAAATTTTTTAATAGCTCCTCTATAAAGATAAATTTTATTTTTCATTATTAAGGGGATCCTAAAGACAATTAATCATATTGGAAATAGCACTTACACAAAGACGATTACGTGTCAATGGACACATCACTACATCAATATCTTACTCACGCACGCCACACATATACGTAGATCTTTGTATCGTAATTATGTTTTAATTAAACACATCTAAATCTAATTTTAAGAACTCCACGCTGTTTCTTCATGCAAACTACATGCCTGTAGACTACTATTTCTTAAGTACATATTGCGCAGCATTTATATAAAACAAATGTTGTTACGACGTGCAACGACGTGACAGCTCTGGAACGCCATATTGGACTAAAAAATGGTAAAGAAGAACAATAACTTTTTAATAGGCGGTTTTTTTAGTACAGAAATTACGATTTGAACCTATCTTCTGCAATCGACCTCTCTCGAAACTTTAATTGTTAATAACTTTTAAACTAGAGGTGTGCAAACGAAAAATCGATGTGTTTCGGAATGTGCAAACCAAAATCTATCGATTGAGACCTTTTCGAACCCATTTGCTCGATGTTAGTATGAAGTTAGCACTCCCAAAATTAATTTTTAAATATTTTTTAATCTAAAGATGTGCAAACGAAAATTCAAAGTGTGCCTAAATGTGCAAACGATGTGCAATCGAATGAATTGTATAAACTTTATTTTTTCAAAGGTTGAGGGGCCAATTTCACACGAGTATGAAACGTAACAATTCATTGCATCATGTTGTTATTGTATTAAACTGTCTGTACTACATAATATTTTTATATAGGAATTTTTGTACTTATGTTGATTGAAATAAAAATTTTAGTACTTTCCTGGAAAAAACTTAACTCTTTACTTACATAAATCTTTATTATCAGATGCTCAAATATCGTAATATTGTGGTTTAAAAAGTTAAATTATAATTATAAAAAATATCACAATATTATTTTCTTTCTAAAATACATACTTCAAGTATTGTAACCTAGGATATTTTTATTTATTCATATAAAAATTATGAATTTTTAATTGATATCACATTTTTCAAGATTCTATTTGTTTAAATATAAACATAATTTTTAAAATAGCTAAAACCGGTTTTTTTTTCACAGACTGATTATTTTGAGAGTTTGATTATAATAGATGTTTTAAGATATTTTCTTCGATGTAAAATCAATTTTAAATCTAGTAAGAAATGTTTACTTAGAAGATTATTCTGTATAAATGACCTCAATCATAATTAATATATATCAATTAAACAGAATTGCGCATACATTGATTAGATCACTGCATGCACACGCACACACATGAGATTAAATTATAAATTTATCCATTAATAATAGATAGCAAAATGGAGGGGGGGGACTGAATTTTTTTACCTTACGAAACATCACACAGTAATTAAATTTTATACAAATTAAATAAAATAGTGTTTATAGAAAACATGTATTTTAACTTGTAATATTTAGCCTCAACCAACTACGACGATAGTTCATTTTATTTTACGTATCTAAATAAATTATTCCATGTTTTAAAAACTTATATAGAAAATACGAACTTCTATAATGATGAAAAGTACAACACAATCTTAATAATACTTACATAACATAATTAATTCAAAAACTGTATATTATAAAAAAACGATTGATTGCTAAATTCAGGGAGCGCTATCTATTAAGTTGTTATGATGAAAGAAGACTACTTAATTTTTACATCATGAGTGTTATTATGTTATTTTACCCCTCTCTCTCTCTCTTTTTCTGACTACGTTCAAATAGCTCTCTGAATCATTATGTCCTTATTTTATATGTTATTAGATGTGAAATATCCAATTATTATACGTTTATTATAACGATAAAGATTATTGAGCAACTATTTACCAAAACTGTCGCTATTAAAAAAACGTTTTAGTTTAACATTTATACCACTTATTGTTCCGCAAACGTTTGACCTCAAATGAGATAAGAAAACCTAAAAATAAAAGACTTATGGGGAAATCATGTTTTTATGAAATCCTAGAGAGTTGTATAAAAAGGAAACCCTCGGACAGTAAGAGTATAGTTTTTCCAGTTTTTCACAAGCAAATAGTACAGTCTTATCCGAAAAGTGAAGTAAGTAGTACATTTATAAGAATGACTATATACAACAATGAAAGACAAATAAATTATTCTATTAGAAATAATAACTTTCGCTTTTACAATTGAATAATAGTTAGCTATATGTTATATTATATTATGCCATTATCATTCGAATACTTATATAAACATGTTTCAAGACGTAAAAGACGTTTCATTCTGTAAAAGGACTAACGATTGACTATCCGAATGTAAACTTTTTTTTTACTCCTGTTAAAAGAAAGTACAGTAGCTGGAATGGAAAAATTCAATACGGCAGAAATCTGTACTTATTATAAAAGATCGATAAAATTAATTTTATTTGCGACGAAAATTAATCTTTATTCTATTTTCCTGATTTTATAAAAATGCAGTGCTACAACTATTATTACATTCAAAGATTTAAGTCTTTTATTATGTTACAAGTATTTTATGAACTACAGCGTGCGTTTATTTCAATCTAAATTCGAGTTCTTATTCCATTTATACCCATCGCCTCTAATTTTAATTTTACGAAATTTAACAAACAATTAAATGAATACCAATGAGAACATTCCGTAACAGTCAAGCTTATAGATCTTGGGTGCTTCTGTATAATTGCATATGAATTTATATACTATGTATATAGATTCTTAATTGTGCGCCGAATCTTCTTCAGACTTGAAACGCAACACTATCGAACTAGTGCGCACAATTAAGAATCTACAAACGTAGTATATAAATTCACATGTAATTATATATAGGGTGCGTTCCACTTGGCGCTCACAACGCTTGCGACCGTTATTTGTCCTTGTTTAATATTTAATAAACAACAAGGATGAAATGATGAGCGTTGCGAGCGTCAAGTGGAACGCACCTATATAGAAGCACCAAAGATTTAACTTGATCATTACGGCATGTTCTCATCGGTATTCATTTGGTTTAAATTCTCACGGTCCAATAAAATTTGATATTTGTTAACAAATAATGTCTTTTAGTGAAACTTTTCTCGTGTGATCAAGTTCTCTTATTTAAGTCATCGAATAAATACGTTTGGCAAATTTTTAGGAAGAATTACAATAATGTTATTTGTTTTTTATTGCTACATACATTTTTAGCAGTATGTGTTTGTATACACAGTGGAAAAAAATAAATAGTAGTAACTGTAACCTATTTTAAATAGAAATAAATTTCATATTCTCTCCATTACATTTTATATCATAAAATAAAAGATTTCAAATCTCAAGAACATCGGGATTTCCGGAGTAGAGTAGTATTCTGCGTCAACCATGTTTATTATGATGCGTAGAGTCACGTCTCCATTAATGCCATATACTCCACTTTCGTTGCATTATTTACATCTCCTGACTACATTTCAAATGCGAGAATTTCTCAGAGGATGGAACGTATCACTAATTTTACTATCGAAAAGAATTTGACCCGTTAAAGCAAAGGATATATTTTGCTCTGCTCACACTGGAGTTCGTATTTTAATAATGATGTAATTGTCACTATTTCAGGTAATAACAGTCGACTCAAAAATTACTTGATACAATGAAGATGCGCAGTAATTTCTACAATAGTAGCCTTATTTACTCCGTTATGTGGATTTCGTCGACTTATCTGCTATTCATCCTCTCGTTATCGGCAACAACTACTGCCGGTACGTTTTTTACACTTTTATTTTTTGGCGTTTTATTATTTACTTTTTGTTAATTAACTTGTTTCCGACCAATATGTACGCAAATAAAAGCGTAAAAGGTAAATAAAACTGTTATGATAAAATACACTTTAAATGTAAATAGACAATTTTATTGTGCATTTTAGTTTGTGCAGTTGAATTTAATTACAGAACTTGTAAATATTAGACTTTGCTAATTGCTTTAAAAAATTGAAGTAAAGAATTCACTCCTAGCTTATGAGTGCTTGCATTGAAATTCGAGAATATCTTCTCTTTGCAATCAGTCTAACTTATTAATGGCAAAATAATTTTATAAAAAGCAGTTTTTATTTTTTATTGTATTATTTTTTTCTATGAGCTTTGTGACATTATAAAAATTTTAATTGTAGAAAGTTTAACAGATGTTTTATGGCGACAGCGTGAAAATACGGAATAATTATTAATTATTGCTTAAAATAAGCAATGATTAGATGACTTAAAATAAAGCTGAAACATTCAATTTTTCGATATAATCATGCAGTAAATATATTTATATATAGTAAAAATCTATTACGCACGATTTAACACTGTATGTGCTGTTATATCTTTAGTCGCCATTTAATTATTTTTCCATTATTCTTACGTCTCGTATTAACTGTGTTTATACAAAAGTCGAATTTTATCTGAATTTATAAACTGAATGATTTGCAGAGCCAGCCGTTGATGAGAATGGCATCGGGCTGACGATTAACATAAATAAAGCGTACTCGCATTTCAACCGTATCGGCAAACAACAATCTAGGTGTGAAATATGTTGCACCCAGGTATATATACATATTTGTAATATATATATATTTACTATATATAAAATTACACACCACTTTATATAAAGCATATTTAATGTAAATTAAAAACTGTCGGTAATGAAAATGTTCAAAACAAGTAGAACAAAAGAGGGATAAGATAAGAAGCTAATTTAATAAGTCAATCAATAGCCTTTAACGATCGAGCTGGATCTTAGGTGCCGTTACAATTCCGTGTAAATTTATATACTACGTATGTAGATTCTGAAATCAGCGCCAAAAATTTTTTTCAGACATAATTTAACACTTTTTAGTTCATTTAAATTTTATTACTTTGTATTCATAGATTTATAATTTGCACTTGAATAGTAAACTGAGAAGTTCAATGGAATCTGTACGCTAATAACATTTCAACAGTCACATCTTGTCATTCATGTATTTTATTTATGTGTTAATCAATGTATTTTTAAATAACAAAAATTATATACATGGATTTCTTTTTCATATAAAAAGTAGTCTTGATTTTCGATACTTTTTGCATAAAAAAATAAATTTACAAATACTGAAAGATTCAATGTGTTTATGATAGTCCTCATGCCGAGTCTACTGCGATGGTAATTGCGAGTGCTGGAATCCTTGTCTCGCCATAGCGTGTTCGCCAGGCTACACATGCGTGTCACAACCCTCAACGTGTCCTACACCGCCTTGTAATTTAGTAGCTACCTGTAGGCCAACACCTACTTCAGACTAATTCTTGTAAACCATCAATTTACCGCAGCTATTTTCTTTGCAAAATGTCAAGTAAATTAATTTATCTTCGATTGTATAGCTGCCTGCACAGAGTATATCGATTTATTTGTGTAAAACTTTAAACACAATAAAGAAAATAAAAAAAAAACATTTACTGTCTTACAAAATCATTATTTATACTTTCTTACAAAAACAACTTCAATATGCCAGTTTCCGAAATCGTTAGGAACCGATCGTACATATACTTATTTTGAATGATTTTTATTTGCTAACACTGTAATACCAGTTTTTTTTATTATGAGTTCAGATAGACATCCTGAATTTACGAATTGTTAACCGAGAATAACAATAATTCATATACTCGCTATAAATACTTTGAAGTCTAATTTTAGTCAATTAGAAAAAATAATTTTATTACCTGATCAATCAAAGAATGCTTCAAAGTATTTGAAGCATATATTGTCTGTACCTCGAGAATATTAATCATGCGCAATATTATATCTATTATAGAGAATGGTCGTGTCTGTTCTACTACTTAATGTAAAAAATAAATATTTGTGCAGTTTCGGGAAACCAGCCCCGATGATTTTGATCTTACATATAGTAATCAAAATCATGATCTGAGAGACATCCAACAGGTTTTTAGCCGTTGCTCGTTATTCACATAGGTAATTGGTCTATATTTCGGGGACTGCATATTTATTATGATTTGTTCTTTATTTTTATGACAAATATATAGGTCAATTCTAAATAGAATTGTAAAACTTATAATTTATTCTCCTAAAACTTGTAAAAACTTATGACTATTATTTTTATTTTATACGTATATATACATATATCATAAGATTTACGATTATTCGTAACGATTTCTCATAAATCTTATGACTAGCAAGAAGCTGTCCGTAAGGACATTGTATAAAGGAACTTAAAAGTACTTATCAAGAGACACGGTAGTGTCTCGCGCCAAGTAAACGCGAAGCGCGAGATTGCACCGTGTATCTTTACGCGAGTCGATGAGTTCCGTGTACCCGAGATTATCGGATCTCACAATAAATGGCTGAATTTATCAACTTTTAAATAGTCTTAATTTAGTTTTATTGTTTAAATTATATTATAAATATGTTTTTATTGTCTACGTACCCTACGAAGGAAGATATCTCGATGTGAAGTTGAAATGTTGAAAATTTTGACATCGGAAATATTGTCCGTTTCACGTTTTAAACGACAGACGGCGTTTGTCGAAAATGTTGTCCGTTTCACGTTTTAAACGGCAGACGGCGCTTGCTAGCATATTTTATTTTATATCGATTAGCTGTCAACATAATGACATTAGATAGATAAAAATCAGCGATGGCAAAGGAGGATTTTTGTATCCTGTTAAAGTAGTCAATGTCTTGAAAGTTCACGGAAAAAGTGTTCGAGAGTCGATTTCTATAGGCATGTTTTGAACTGTACTGTCGCCTCTCAAGCCATGCCGAAGAGGATAACGAACGCGAAAATCGCATGTCTAGACTTCTCGTTGCAAAAAAGCTGATTTGGAAAGAATTGCTAAAGCTACAGGTGTGCAATTTCTAATTTCGCTAACCAACATAGAAGGAGAGGAGAGTTTTGATGTCAGTTTTATATAAATTCTCACGGAATTATAATTAGTACCTAAGATACAGCTCGATCGTTAAAGGCATTTTATTGGTTGTGTTTCTCACGGTCTTATAAGATTTAATATTTAAATATTGTTTCTTTTTTATTTTAAGGCCGAAGGCACGCACAGTGAGATTTATTATTATATTAGAGCTTTGTGAGCTCTATTATTATATTTTATTATATTTTTTTCTTTATATATTTTATATAGAGATTTATAAGAAATATTTACAAAATGCGTGATATCTCAACAAAATTACCTTTTAAAAAAAAAGGAAGAAAGGCGCCAAATTTTTTGTACTTTTACTTTTTGAAATAAAGTATAGATATGTTATATATGTGACAAGAAAACATATTCCTTTCACAATTAGCGCAATCTAAAAAGATTTTATTTTATTTTGTGAGGCAAACACGCACACTTGGCGCCTCTTCTTCCTTTTTTTAAAAAGGTAATTTTGTTGAGATAAGTCTTACAAGAATATGTTGCAATTCTTACGATTCTTCATAGAATTTAGGTAATAGTTAACAGTTTTAGAATTCCGTGAAGTTAGCACCCAACTTTTACGAAACTAAATTTTGTTAGATGTTTTTTATATGATTTTTTTTAATTGTTGTAATAATTATTTCGTTTATAATTGGAAAAATTACTTGAAGAAAATGAGCAGTAATTTCTGCAACGATGGATTTTCCCACTCTACTAAATTGATATCGTTGATTTGTCTACCGCTTGTCCTCTCACAATCGACATCGATCATCGCCGGTATGTGTCCTCTATTTTTTTTTCAGCTCTTTTCATTAATTTTTATAAAGAAACACATCGAAGTTATCTTTTGATTCTTATAAACTTTTAACAATATTGTTTTCTAGATTAAAATAAAAGACACGTATTTTTTTATAAGGACTTAATTACAATTTAAATCCAAATATCTTTTTAAAAAAAATTGGTTATTTTCTTTCGACTTATATATGGAAGAGTTACAGTTTTACGTTTTATAACAATGTGGTAACAATGTTGCAATTTTTTATGACTGTAATGATGACTAACTAAACGCTTACGAAACATTTAAAACGCTAAAATAATTTTAGCCTCTTAAGCGTTTATTTAGTTGTCATTATAGTCATAAAAAATTGCGACATTGTTACCACATTGTTATAAAACGTAAAACTGTAACTCTTCCATATATAAGTCGAAAAAAAATAACCAATTTTTTTTAAAAAGATATTTGGATTTAAGTCCTTATAAAAAAATACGTGTCTTTTATTTTAATCTAGAAAACAATATTGTTAAAAGTTTACAAGAATCAAAAGATAACTTCGATGTGTGTTTCTTTATAAAAATTAATGGAAAGTTGAAAAAAAAATAGAGGACACATACCGGCGATGATCGATGTCGATTGTGAGAGGACAAGCAGTAGACAAATCAACGATATCAATTTAGTAGAGTGGGAAAATCCATCGTTGCAGAAATTACTGCTCATTTTCTTCAAGTAATTTTTCCAATTATAAACGAAATAATTATTACAACAATTAAAAAAAATCATATAAAAAACATCTAACAAAATTTAGTTTCGTAAAAGTTGGGTGCTAACTTCACGGAATTCTAAAACTGTTAACTATTACCTAAATTCTATGAAGAATCGTAAGAATTGCAACATATTCTTGTAAGACTTATAAGTACTTTTATATATTATATTAATTATGTATATGTTAATTATGTCTGAATAAATGATATTGAAGAATTCAGATTTATTCAATTAGACAAAATTTATTGAAGGAATTAAACGCCTATAACGGTCAAAGCTGGATCAAAGTGCTAATAATAAGTATGAGTGAATTCTTATACACCACATATGTAGCCCCCCCTTTTAAATGCGCGCTGATACATCAGACATATAACGCATAAATACTACAGTAGTATTCATTGTTTGTAGACAATTTACGGTCCATACAAAAATTAGAAAATTTATTGAAATTGCGTACCAATAACTGCACTCTCACTCGCCCTTGAGTACTGGAATTTTTGAACCACAAGAGTCCGTGAAGAAGATTACACACACACACATTTTGTATTTATAATTAATTCGAAAAATGTATATTACAATAAAACGAATAATTGCTAAATTCAGGGAACGCTATCTATCAGAGTTATTATGATGAAGACTACTTAATTTTTACATCCTGAGTGTTATTATGTTATTCTCCCCCTTTCTCTCTCTTTTTCTAACTACGTTCAAATAACTCTCTGAATCATTATGTCCTTATTTTATGTGTTATTAGACAAGAAACATCCAATTATCATACGTTTATTATAACGATAAAGATTATTGAGCAACTATTTGCCAAAACTGTCGCTATTAAAAAAATAGCATTTAAGTATAACATTTATACCACTTATTGTTCTGCAAACGTATGACCTCAAATAAGAGATAAAAAAAAACTAAAAATAAAAGACTTATGGGGAAACCATGTTATTATGAATTTCTAGTTGTATAAAAAGGAAACCCTCAGACAGTAAGAGAATAGCTTTTCCAGTTTCTCACAAGCAAATAGTACAGTCTTATCCGAAAAGTGAAGTAAGTAGTACATTTATAAGAATCACTATACAACAATGAAAAACAATTAAATTATTTTTTTGGAAATAATAACTTTTACTTTTAGAATTGAATAATAGTTAGCTATATGTTACATTATATTATGCCATTATCATTCGAATACTTATATAAACATGTTTTAAAACGGTTTCATTCTGTAAAAGGACTAACGATTGACGATCTGAACGTAAACTTCTTTTACTCCTGTTAAAAGAAAGTATAGTAACTGGAAAAATTCAATACGGCAGAAATCTGTACTTATTATAAAAGATCGATAAAATTTATTTTATTAGTGATGAAAATTAATCTTTATTCTATTTTCCTGATTTTCTGAAAATTTAGTGCTACAACTATATTATTACATCAAAGATTTAAGTTTTTTATTATGTTACAAGTATTTTATGAACTACAGCGTGCGTTTATTTCAATTTACATTCGAGTTTTTATTCCATTTATACCCATCGCCTCTAATTGTAATTTCACAAAATTTAACAAGCAATGAAATGAATACCGATGAGAACATTCTATAACGGTCAAGCTTATAAATTTTGGGAGCTTCTGTATAATTGCGTGTGAATTTATATATTACGTTTGTAGATTCTTAATTATGCGCCGAATTTTCTTCAGACTTGAAACGCAACACTATCAAACTAGCGTAGTATATAAATTCACACGTAATTATATATAGAAGCACCCAAGATTTAGATTGATCATTATGGCATGTTCTCATCGGTATTCATTTGGTTTAAATTCTCACGGTCCAATAAAATTTGATATTTGTTAACAAATAAGGTCTTTTAGTGAAACTTTTCTCGTGCGATCAAGTTCTCTTATTTAAGTCATCGAATAAATACGTTTGGCATATTTTTAGGAAGAATTACAATAATGTTACTTGGTTTTTTATCACTGCATACATTTTTAGCAGAAAGTGTTTGTATACACAGTGGAAAAAAAACAAATGGTAGTAACTGTAAGCTATTTCGAATAGAAATAAATTTCATATTCTCTTTATTACATTTTATATCACAAAATAAAAGGTTTCAAATCTCAAGAATTTCCGGAGTAGAGTAGTCTTCTGCGTTCGTTAACCACATTTATTACGATGCGTAGAGTCACGTTTCCATTAATGCTACTTTCATTGCATTATTTACATCTCTTACATTTCAAATGCGAGAATTTTTCAGAGGATGCAACGTATCACTAATTTTACTATCGAAAAGAATTTGACCCGTTAAAGCAAAGGATAGAATTTTGTTCTGCTCATACTGGAGTTCGAGCTTTAATAATGATGTATAATTGTCACTATTTCAGGTAATAACAGTCGACTCAAAAATTACTTGATACAATGAAAATGCGCAGTAATTTCTACAATAGTAGCCTTATTTACTCCGTTATGTGGATGTCGTCGACTTATCTACTATTCATCCTCTCGTTATCGGCAACAACTACTGCCGGTACGTTTTTTACACTTTTATTTTTTGGCGTTTTATTATTTACTTTTTGTTAATTAACTTGTTTCCGACCAATATGTACGCAAATAAAAGCGTGAAAGGTAAATAAAACGGTTATGATAAAATACACTTTAAATGTAAATAGACAATTTTATTATACATTTTAGTTTGTGCAGTTGAATTTCATTACAAAACTTGTAAATATTAGACTTTGCTAATTGCTTTAAAAAATTGAAGTAAAGAATTCACTCCTATCTTATGAGTGCTTGCATTGAAATTCGAGAATATTTTCTTTTCGCAATCAGTCTAACTTATTAATGGCAAAATAATTTTATAAGAAGCAGTTTTTATTTTTTATTGTATTATTTTTTTTCTATGAGCTTTGTGACATTATTATAAAAATTTTAATTGTAGAAAGTTTAACAGATGTTTTATGGCGATAGCGTGAAAATACGGAATAACTATTAATTATTGCTTAAAATAAGCAATGATTAGATGACTTAAAATAAAGCCGAAACATTCAATTTTTCGATGTAATCATGCAGTAAATATATTTATATATAGTGAAATTCCATTACGCACGATTTAATACTGTATGTGCTGTTATATCTTTAGTCGCCATTTAATTATTTTTCCATTATTCTTACGTCTCGTATTAACTGTGTTTATACAAAAGTTGAATTTTATCTGAATTTATAAACTCAATGATTTGCAGAGCCAGCCGTCGATGAGAATGGCATCGGGCTGACGATTAACATGAATAAGGCGTACTCGCATTTCAACCGTATCGGCAAACAACAATCTTTGTGTGAAATATGTTGCACCGAGGTATATATACATATTTGTAATATATATATATTTACTATATATAAAATTACACACTACTTTATATAAAGTATATTTAATGTAAATTAAAAACTGTCAGTATTGAAAATGTTCAAAACAAGTAGAACAAAAGAGGGATAAGATAAGAAGCTAATTTAATAAGTCAATCAATAAAAAATAGCCTTTAACGGTCGAGCTGAATCTTAGGTGCCATTATAATTCCGTGTAAATTTATATACTACGTATGTAGATTCTGAAATTCGCGCCAATAATTTTTTTCAGACATAATTTAACACTTTTTAGTTCATTTAAATTTTATTACTTTGTATTCATAACCGCGTCAATAATTTTTTTCAGACATAATCTAACTCTTTTTAGTTCATTTAAATTTTATTACTTTGTATTCATAGATTTATAATTTGTACTTGAATAGTAAACTGAGAAGTTCAATGGAATCTGTACGCTAATAACATTTCAACAGTCACATCTTGTCATTCATGTATTTTAATTATGTGTTAATCAATGTATTTTTAAATAACAAAAGTTATATACATGGATTTCTTTTTCATATAAAAAGTAGACTTAATTTTCGATACTTTTTGCATAAAAAAATAATTTTACAAATATTGAAAGATTCAATGTTTATGATAGGTCTCATGCCGAGACTATTGCGATGGTAAGTGTGAGTGCTGGAATCCTTGTTTCGCCGTATCGTGTCCGCCAGGCTACATATGCACGTTACAACCCTCAACGTGTCCTAAACCGCCCTGTAATTTAGTAGCTACCTGTATAGTCAAATTAGACATTTAAGTAGGAAGGTGAAGCGTAACGCAAAATTTTTTTTTCTTTATGTAGGGGTTGTCTAGAAAAGGTTATTTCGAGTTGTCGTATCATGAGCCTTGAGCTTTTTTAAGGGGGGAGGGGGGAAGGAAAAAAATGCTTTTTTCGCTATAACTCCGCGAATTTTGGACCAAATTAAACGAGTAACCGCGCATTTTGTAGCTTTTTTCAAGCTCTATAATTTTGCTATAGATGACCCCCCACCTAAAATCAATATTTTTCGAGTTAAGCAGTTTGAAGTGGGGGAAAAATGCAATTTTTATGGTTTGTCGCAATAATCTCGTTTCGGTGAAGAGATACAATTTTTTGACCTTTGACAAAGTTGTAGAGCTTGAAAAGGCGAAGAAAATGAGCCGTGACTCAATTCGATTAGTCAAATATTGACCATAGAAGACAGGCTCCCCGTCCGCTGGTTCCGCCGCGGCACGAAATGGCAGCCACGGCGGAGGCGCGCATCGGACCGAGTTCGGCGCGTTTTCCGCTTTTGTCTTTTTTCTGACACATGAAATCGTCAAAGTTACTTTTTATAACAATGTGGTAACAATGTTGCAATTTTTTATGACTGTAATGATGACAAACTAAACGCTTACGAAACATTTAAGACGCTAAAATAATTTTAGCCTCTTATGCGTTTATTTAGTTGTCATTATAGTCATAAAAAATTGCAACATTGTTACCACATTGTTATAAAACGTAAAACTGTAACTCTTCCATATATAAGTCGAAAGAAAATAACCAATTTTTTTTAAAAAGATATTTGGATTTAAATTGTAATTAAGTCCTTATAAAAAAATACGTGTCTTTTATTTTAATCTAGAAAACAATATTGTTAAAAGTTTATAAGAATCAAAAGATAACTTCGATGTGTTTGTTTATAAAAATTAATGGAAAGCTGAAAAAAAATAGAGGACACATATCGGCGATGATCGATGTCGATTGTGAGAGGACAAGCGGTAGACAAATCAACGATATCAATTTAGTAGAGTGGGAAAATCAATCGTTGCAGAAATTACTGCTCATTTTCTTCAAGTAATTTTTCCAATTATAAACGAAATAACGATTACAACAATTAAAAAAAATCATACAAAAAACGTCTATCAAAATTTAGTTTCGTTAAAGTTGGGTGCTAACTTCACGGAATTCTGAAACTGTTAACTATTACCTAAATCCTATGAAGAATCGTAAGAATTGCAACATATTCTTGTAAGACTTATAAGTACTTTTATATATTATATTAATTATGTATATGTTAATTATGTGCGAATAAATGTGATATTGAAGAATTCAGATTTATTCAATTAGACAAAATTTATTGAAATTGCGTACCAATAACTGCACTCTCACTCGCCCTTGAGTACTGGAATTTTTGAACCACAAGAGTCCGTGAAGAAGATTACACACACACATTTTGTATTTATAATTAATTCGAAAATTGTATGATACAATAAAACGATTAATTGCTAAATTCAGGGAACGCTATCTATCAGAGTTATTATGATGAAGACTACTTAATTTTTACATCCTGAGTGTTATTATGTTATTTTCCTCCTTTCTCTCTCTTTTTCTAACTACGTTCAAATAACTCTCTGAATCGTTATGTCCTTATTTTATGTGTTATTAGACATGAAACATCCAATTATTATACGTTTATTATAACGATAAAGATTATTGAGCAACTATTTGCCAAAATTGTCGCTATTAAAAAAATAGCATTTAAGTATAACATTTATACCACTTATTGTTCCGCAAACGTTTGACCTCAAATGAGAGATAAGAAAAACTAAAAATAAAAGACTTATGGGGAAACCATGTTATTATGAATTTCTAGTTGTATAAAAAGGAAACCCTCAGACAGTAAGAGAATAGCTTTTCCAGTTTCTCACAAGCAAATAGTACAGTCTTATCCGAAAAGTGAAGTAAGTAGTACATTTATAAGAATCACTATACAACAATGAAAAACAATTAAATTATTTTTTTGGAAATAATAACTTTTACTTTTAGAATTGAATAATAGTTAGCTATATGTTACATTATATTATGCCATTATCATTCGAATACTTATATAAACATGTTTTAAAACGGTTTCATTCTGTAAAAGGACTAACGATTGACGATCTGAACGTAAACTTCTTTTACTCCTGTTAAAAGAAAGTATAGTAACTGGAAAAATTCAATACGGCAGAAATCTGTACTTATTATAAAAGATCGATAAAATTTATTTTATTAGTGATGAAAATTAATCTTTATTCTATTTTCCTGATTTTCTGAAAATTTAGTGCTACAACTATATTATTACATCAAAGATTTAAGTTTTTTATTATGTTACAAGTATTTTATGAACTACAGCGTGCGTTTATTTCAATTTACATTCGAGTTTTTATTCCATTTATACCCATCGCCTCTAATTGTAATTTCACAAAATTTAACAAGCAATGAAATGAATACCGATGAGAACATTCTATAACGGTCAAGCTTATAAATTTTGGGAGCTTCTGTATAATTGCGTGTGAATTTATATATTACGTTTGTAGATTCTTAATTATGCGCCGAATTTTCTTCAGACTTGAAACGCAACACTATCAAACTAGCGTAGTATATAAATTCACACGTAATTATATATAGAAGCACCCAAGATTTAGATTGATCATTATGGCATGTTCTCATCGGTATTCATTTGGTTTAAATTCTCACGGTCCAATAAAATTTGATATTTGTTAACAAATAAGGTCTTTTAGTGAAACTTTTCTCGTGCGATCAAGTTCTCTTATTTAAGTCATCGAATAAATACGTTTGGCATATTTTTAGGAAGAATTACAATAATGTTACTTGGTTTTTTATCACTGCATACATTTTTAGCAGAAAGTGTTTGTATACACAGTGGAAAAAAAACAAATGGTAGTAACTGTAAGCTATTTCGAATAGAAATAAATTTCATATTCTCTTTATTACATTTTATATCACAAAATAAAAGGTTTCAAATCTCAAGAATTTCCGGAGTAGAGTAGTCTTCTGCGTTCGTTAACCACATTTATTACGATGCGTAGAGTCACGTTTCCATTAATGCCACTTTCTTTGCATTATTTACATCTCTTACATTTCAAATGCGAGAATTTTTCAGAGGATGCAACGTATCACTAATTTTACTATCGAAAAGAATTTGACCCGTTAAAGCAAAGGATAGAATTTTGTTCTGCTCATACTGGAGTTCGAGCTTTAATAATGATGTAATTGCCACTATTTCAGGTGATAACGATCGACTCAAAAATTACTTGATACAATGAAGATGCGCAGTCATTTCTACAACAGTAAGCTTATTCACTCCATTATGTGGATGTCGACGACTTATCTGCTGTTCATCCTCTCGTTATCGACAACAACTACTGCTAGTATGTTCGTTAAAGTTTTTATTTTTTGGCGTTTTATTATTTACTTTTTGTTAATTATATATATATAACTTGTTTCCGTCCAATATGCACGCAAATAAAAGCATAAAAGGTAAATAAAACGGTTATGATAAAATACAATTTAAATGTAAATAAACAATTTTATTGTACATTTTGGTTTGCGCAGTTGAATTTAATTATAGAACTTGTAAATATTAGACTGTGCTAATTGCTTTAAAAAGTTGAAGTAAAGAATTCACTCCTAGCTCTTGAGTGCTTGCATTCAAATTTGAGAATATCTTCTCTTTGCAATGAATCTAATATATTAATGGTTAATTAATTTTATAAAAAGCAGTTTTTACTTTTTATTGTACTATTTTCTTCTATGAGTTTTTTGTGACATTGTTATAAAAATTTTACATTGTCATCTTGTTTCTTGATTTAGATTGATTTTATCAGTCTATAAATAACTAATAAATAAAAAACTTTTTAATTGCGGAAAGTTTAACAGGAGATGTTTTATGGCGACAGCGTGAAAATACTGAATAATTGTTAATTATTGTTTAAAATAAGCAATGGCTGCGTTCAGCAGAAAAAGCAGCTTTGCAACTGTTGTAAAATTCTTAAATATAATTGGCTTGTACATTTAGATCTAATGAGGAAATAAGGGCAAGACCAATCATATTAAAGAATTTTACAACAGTTGCAAAGTTGCTTTCTGTGCTGAACGCAGCCAATGATTAGATGATTTATAATAAAGCCGAAACATTCAATTTTGCGATGTAGTGATGCAATAAATATATTTATATGTAGTAAAAATTCATTATGCACGAATTAACACTGTTTATGCTGTTATATCTTTAGTCGCCTTTTAATTATTTTTCCAGTATTCTTACGGCTCGTATTAACTTTGATTATAAAAAAGTCGAATTTTATCTAAATTTATAAACTGAATGATTTGCAGAGCCAGCCGTCGATGGCATCGGGCTGACGCTTAACATCAATAAAGCGTACTCGCATTTCAACCGTATCGGCAAACAACAATCTTTGTGTGCCATAGATTGCATAAGGGTATATATATACATATTTGTAATATATATTTACTATATATAAAATTACACACCACTTTATATAAAGCATATTTAATGTAAATTTAAAACTTTCGGTATTGAAAATGTTCAAAACAAGTAGTACAAAGAGGGATAAGATAAGAAGCTAATTTAATAAGTCATTCAATAAGAAATAGCCTTTAACGATCGAGCTGGATCTTAGGTGCCGTTACAATTCCGTGTGAATTTATATACTACGTATATAGATTCTTAAATCAGCACCAAAAAATTTTGTTCAGACTTAATTTAACACTTTTTAGTTCATTTAAATTTTATTACTTTGTATTAATAGATTTATAATTTACACTTGAATAGTAAACTGAGAAATTCAATGGAATTCTGTACGCTAATAATATTTCAACAGTTACATCTTGTCATTCATGTATTTCATTTATGTGTTAATTATTATAATGTATTTTTAAATAACATAAATTAGATACATGGATTTCTTTTTATATAAAAAGTAGTCTTGATTTTTGATACTTTTTGCAGAAAAAAATATATTTACAAATACTAAAAAATTCAATGTTTATGATAGGAAGACTTTTGTCTGATGACCTGCAGTCTTCTTTGCCAGTGCCAGGATATTTGTATCGCCGTAACGTGTTCGAATCCAGAATACCCGACATGCATGACACAACCCCCGAACTCAACTTGTAATATTCTGCCCTGTATTATAACAGGTTCCTGTACTTCAGGCTAATTTTTTCAGACCATCAATTCACCGCAGCTATTTTCTTTGCAAAATGTTAGATAAATTAACTTAATCTTCGATTGTATAGCTGCCTGCAGAGTATATCGATTTATTTGTGTAAAGCTTTAAATAAAATAAAGAAAATAAAAAAAACATTTACTGTTTTACAAAATCATTATTTATACTGTCTTATAAAAATATCTTCAATATGCCAGTTTCCGAAATCGTTAGAAACCGATCGTACTTATACTTATTTTGAATGATTTTCATTTGCTAAAACTGTAATACCAGTTTTTTTGTTCTGAGTTCAGATAGACATCATGAATTTACGAATTGTTAACGGAGAATAACAATAATACATATATTCGTTATAAATACTTTGAAGTCTAATTTTAGTCAATCAGAAAAAATAATTTTATTACCTGATCAATCAACGAATGCTTCAAAATATTTCAAGCATATATTGACTGTACCTCGCGAATATTAATCATGTGCAATATTATCTATTGAAGAGAACGGTCGTGTATGTTCTACTACTTAATGTACAAAATAAATGATAATTGTGCAGTTTTGGGGAACCAGCCCCGATGATTTTGACCTTACATAGTTATCGAGATCATGACCTGAGAGAAATATATCTAACAGGTTTTTAGCCATTGCTCGTTATTTATATAATTGGTCTATGCTTCTGGGACTGCATAATTATTACAATTTGTTTTTTATTTTTATGATAAATATATAGGTCAATTCTAAACAGAATTGTAAAACTCATAATTTATGTCGTAAAACTTGTAAAAACTTATGACTATATTATTCTGATTTTATACGTACATGTATCATAAGATTTACGATTATTCGTAACGATTTCTCATAAATCTTATGACTAGCAAGAAGCTGTCCGTAAGGACATTGTTCATAAAAAAACCGAATTCCATTTACGAATTAAAATTTGTAGTGCCGACCATCGACGAGATTGACACCAGGATGAATAGTAAACAAGCTACAAATGAGACATGCCCACCTATGAATGAGTGTTCTATGAATTGCCGCTGGGAATTTGAAGTATAATATATATATATATCTGTCTCTCTCTCTCTCTCTCTCTCTCTCTTTCTCTCTCTCTATTATATATAAAACTATACATTCATTTTATATTTAGCATATTTAAAATTTATAACTATCATTATTAAAAATTTCCAAAAATAAATATCTAGAATAAAAAGGGAGTAAAATGACGAAATAAATAAGATAACAAATTATTAATTTTCCTAAACTAATAACAAAGAAATATTGAATCAATGCTGAATTCATTAAAGGCTTTAAATAATATTCTCTTGTAGTTTGACTTCATCTATCCAAGGTGGATAATATAATATGTATAGTAAGAAATATATTTTAGATGCATTATTTATATGTAATATTTTGGTCTGTTTTTATAAGGAATAATACAATTATATATTTACTTTTTTTCCGTTCCATTTCTAGTGTTGAAACATTTTTTGTACTATTAATAATTTTGGAGAAAATTGACTAGATTTATAAAATTGGGATACTTTGTATATAAAAATACAAAAAAAGTTTGTGTATTTTTAAATAAAATTTTAGACTAAATATAGATTTTTTCCTTTATATAAAATAATTTTGATTTGTGATGTTTTTCACATAAAAATTCTTATTGAAAATGCTGTCATTAAAAAATCCAATGTTTTCGATAGATCGATGCGGACACCGGTTGTGAAATATGCAAGTGCCAGGATCCCTGTTTAAAGGTTCTCTGTCCAAAAAACGAAACGTGCGTGCCAATCATGTTCGCACCCTGTTTTGTGTCGCCGTGTCCCGTGATAACTACTTGTAAAAATATCATATCTTCATCAACAATTTAATCTGCAAGCAAATCCTTGCAAAAATCACCGATTCGCCACGGCTATTTCTTTGCAACATGTTAAATAAATCAACTTGACCGCTGATGTATAGCTGCATCTAAGTAGATGTAGAGTATTTTTAAGAGTGAAGATACACCTTATATTGATTTATTTGTGTACAGCTTCAAACAGAATAAAAAAATTAAACATTTACTTCACATCATTCACATTTGTTTACAAAAATTAATTAAATATCCCGAAACTTCAAAACCGCCTGGAATCGGATATAATTAATTTCGATTGCTAAAGTTACTGTACCGGATTTTACTGTTGGAGCAATTTTATTATTGGAAAACAGGAGAATTTCGATCTTTATTAGTCTATATATAAATATGTATAATCAAACACAGTATAAATCTATAAATATAATAATCTATTTACAATTGTACGGACGTATTAACGTAACGACATCTTGGGATTTCCAGACCCAGGACAATCTTGCATTAATGGCTCGCACATCAAAGAGGTAATGAAGACAAATCAATGAAAATAATAAAATCATTTCCCATACCTAGATCCTCGACGATCAAACAAATGTCCATCGATAAATTCATTATGCGCAAGTAAATGTTCCCCCGATTTCGCAAAAGAATCGTTATTTTATGTCACTTTAAAGAAATAGATTATATTTTCCAACTATCCTTTGTATTTTGTCAAAATCACTGTAAATACAAACGATTTATAAATTTATATTATGTGAATAATATCGAACAAATCTTTAATTGAATCTAAGTTGTCTTTAGAATCTACATATGTATGTACGTGTATATAAATACCGAATCCAAGAATGTCGTATGCATTCGTTTGATCGTCAAGTCTGGACCATAATAATGAATCTCGTGTGGACAATAAATTACGACGAAATATTGACAGTGAGACATATACATGACATTGTTTTGACTACGATGTATGCTATACATGTACGACATTACTTCACAGTTTCCAGTTGCACTTATAATTTTTGAGTTTTTGTTTATTAATAATAATAACGCTAACAGTTAAAAACAAATTAAATTTCGTGACATAAGATTAAAGACATTCTAAGTTGTAAGAACATAAAAGTATATTTTTAATTATTTAATATTCTTTAAACAAACATTTTTGGAAATTAAACATTCGTATTGAAAAATTTTTTTTCTATACTTTTAGTATATCTTTTTACGAGAAATTATCTCCTTAACGATTATACGATATTGAATATTACAATCCAAATGTATGTAAAAAAAGTTACAGAGATAAAAAAAGATATAAAATTAAAAAATTGTCGATTATATGAGCACACCCGGAGAAAGAAGTTTAAGAATCACTATCGTACACGGTGGAAATTATCTATGTAAAAAGCGAATTGTTTTATGCTCCAACGATAGTATCCGATGTATGAATATTTTCTAGCTTCTGCTGTGACGCAGTCTCCTTTTCCTTCTCATTCTGCTCCGATCCTGATATCACGTAAACCGGCTGTTGGCTATAAGCGAGGAAATGTTGGTCCATTGGAAACATCTTCGAAGGATCCTTTAACTTCATCTACAATATTTATTTAGAGAATTTAATAATGGTATCATAAATAATTCTCACAGATATTAAAAATAAATTAAATGAAATTCGGATTAAATATAATCACATGGAAAGAACAATTCTACTAAAGTATCTTAAAATTTAGCTAGACACATATTTAAAAATAATTTTATTTAAATATATCATATAAATATGTAATTAGATGCTCAAACTGATTGCTAGAATGTCAAAACATTTTGCGGTATTATACTCATCATGCTTGAGATTCCTACAGAATTATTAAAACGGTCCGACAAAATTATTTATAGATGTATATCTAGTCAAATTTTTGGACACTTAAGAAATACTGTTCTTTCTGTGTACATTTATTGCTAAATGTAATATATAAGTACATATTTAATACCCTGAAGGTGACATCAAAGTTTGTAACAATGTTATATTCAATAACATGTATTATTAAAGCTTCATAAAATTTATTTAATTAGTGTTGAAAAGCACTAACTTAAGAAATCAAAACAATAAAACTCATATAAATAAATATATGTGAATACTAAATTTACTTTACTAATAATAATTCAAATTTGCGAATATAACAAAAAATATAATTGAATGAGTTTAATAGACTTAGGGCCTAAGTGCAAAGATGGCTGTAACTGAGTAATGGAATGTGAATCGTAGTTGTAAGTTGACCAAAACATTGTGCATTGATTTGTGATTACGACTCACATTTTACGATTCAATTATGATCATCTTCGTTCTTAGACCGTCAACTCTAAAGAGGTAATATCTTCAGCAAAATTTTAAAAAAAGTTCCTACCTTCTTGCGGTATAACATTAACAGAATGACGAGACTGCTAATGACAAAGGCGCTACTCGCCGCGAGCACGATCGTAGCCGTTTGATAGAACGGCGCTTCCATTTGTGTGAGGATCTCACGTTGTTCCAATGTGACGATCCGGCTCTGCGTTGCCACAGGTGTGGAGCGATGCGTAAAACGTGAGGTCGTCGCATCTGCGAACGAACCCAGCATGGATAACTTCTGGATCCGCGTGAGTTCTTCCAAATGGAACGCCACGTCTACTTTGTTTGTGCCGACAATTTCGAAACTCAAGATTGCCGAATCCTGATTGATTTCTACTCGTATGTCTTTTCGGAGTCTTGCACCTAGTTCACGCAGAAAATCCTCGGCCTCTCGAGCGAATCGCTTCTCGTCGCTGGCGAGAAATCGACCGGGGAAACGTAACGTCACTTCGACAGCTTCGACTGGAGTGGGCACTAATTAATATAAGAGATATTATGTTTAAGTTACGTTCATTGTAATAAAACATTGTTATTAATATGATATTTTACATAACTGAGAATTTTAATTTAGAGAAACAAAAATACGCGTGTATACGACAATGCATATTATGAGAAATCAGGAAGATCAGCGCTAGCTATCACAATTTGTCAACAAAGTTAAAAAGAATGGATGTAAGATTTTTAAACACGTCGTAATACAATTTACATTCCTTAGTCATTAAAAAATATATTACTCTGGAATATACCATCGTACAAATAAGTTATTTAATTTTGAATAAAGCTGCGAAAAAATATCCTAACTACCTCACTCCAGTTTGATTGTCATATATTCTAGAATTAGTAGTAACATATTTTA